CAATGAGCAATGAGCAGTGAGCAGCCCCTCCCGAAACAAAGTGAAGCGCAGGACGGGGTCCGGTGGATGGGAGGCAAGGAAGCGCGGGGGGTTGCCACGTGCGCTACCGCCGCCGCCGCAGGCAGCACCCCTGCGGCGGCGGCAGCGGCAGCAAGCCGTGGACCCAAACGCCGTGCCGCCGCCGCCGCAGGCAGCACCCCTGCGACGGCGGCGGCAGCAAGCCGTGGACCGAAACGCCGTGCCGCCGAGTCCCGTGGCTGTGGCCGTGGGCTTCTGGCAGGAAGCTACGGCCGCAGCTCGGTGGCTCGGGGGCGTCGCAGCGTGCCGCCGCCGCCGCCGCGCTGCCCCCCGGGCACGGCGGCGGCGGCAGCAAGCTTGGGCCCAAACGCCGTGCCGCCGAGTCCCGTGGCTGCGGCCGTAGACTGTGGGCCGGAAACTGCGGCCGCAGCTCGGCGGCACGCGGTTCTGTTCAAGTCGCCAAGCGTGCAGCAGCGCCGAACCACGCTTCCCGGCCTCGGCGCATGCCTTCAGGGGCCCCCTATCGCTGGGCGCACCCCTCCAACACCGAACATGCGCCCGGGGGGGAGGGCGGCCCGGGCTGCCCAGGCCAAAGTGGGCCGCCCTCGAGCAAGAGGCGGCCGGTCTGTGTGCTGAATGAATGAATGAACCCTCCGCCCGGCGGGATGCCGGCTCTTCAGCTTCCTCCTGGTGGGTGCCAGCGCGTTCGCCTGCCCGCCTGCCCTGGGAGAACCGATTGTGGGCGGTGAACGCCCAAACGCCTGCTGCCACTGAACCTGCTCCTCCACACCAGTGCTGCAGTTCACGCTCGAGCCATGCACGATCCTGCAGCCCCACATCCACCCCCACGCCGAGTTTGCATTCCCCATCAAGGGCAAAGTCACGTTCTCCGTAGTGTAAGCATCACGCTTGCGTAGCCTGGTCATGTGGGCAGCCATCGCTCACTGGAAGGGACTGCCGCCTCACTCCGCTCATGCCGCCTGCCTCGCAGCTTCAACAACAACTCTTTCACCGAGGCACTCGAGAATACGCAGAAGGATGTCGGCCCCGGCGGATTTGCCGTGTTCCCCACTGGTAAGCAGAGTTCATCCTCATGCGAGCTGCTGCCTCAGGCTGACATCACCACCCTCCTCCTGCTCGCTCGCACATGGTCCCGAATTCGACAGCCCACCCACACCATCCATCTTGCTTTTCGCGTGCCTGCAGGCACGCTGCACGTCACCCAGAACGAGCACTGCGTGCCTGCCACAATCATGGCACTGTTCGCTTCTTCCAACCCCAGCGCCTCGTTCTACCCATTCACCGAGGTGTGCTGTCTGCCGGGTCCGGGGCAATTGCTCGCCCGCCCGGCTGTCTGAGCACTGCCGATGTGTTCCTTTGCGATGCAGGGGTCCATGCCTAGCAACACCCTGAAATCGTACTACGGTGGAAAGATAACCAAAAAGCAAACACGCATACCATTCTTCACCGCCAAGATTGCCGGCTGCACTTGCCCCAACTGAGCCAGCAGAGCTTTGCCAGCAGTTGCATGTTTTGAAGCAGCAACAAGTCTGTAGGAGTCGGCGCCCTACCGCATGTGCCTGCCAGATGGGCCGCCACGCCTCCTATCCTTACTTAATCTTTCCCCGGTCAACCGCATTGATCATTGATCGCATGTGTTCTCTGTCCTGCCCCCTCTGTTTCTGTGCATTGCCAGGCTTGTTTGGGAAGGAGGCACAGCATGCTTGCTTGCTTGTGTGGGCTTAAAGTCTGGTAAAGCAAGAACTAGCTTGCAACATAGACTCCCCGCCGAAACGGGACGGGAACCGGGCGAAAGCAGAGAAAGCAATAAAACAGGGGTGGAGCAAGGCGACATGCAACGCAAGCAGCTGACAGGGCACGCATCGAAACGTGTGTATGACTGGCAAAGTGGCATGGCGCATTGGGGAGAAACGCAACGGTACGGGAGCATGGGCTGGCCAAACGGCAGTGCGGAACGCTAGGTCACTAGAAAAGCAGGGAAAGGCTTTTTACCCTGGTGCAACTTGCACATCCTTTGACTTTCTGAGCATTAGCCAGGCTGAGCCTGGCAGGTTATCCGTGCCGAAACGTTTACCACTTTTGACACCATGCACATTGGCATGCCCGGCTGCCGCCACCCCACGCTGTGGCCCCATACCACTTAATTCTCACGCTTTATTATTATCGATCCTGCTGGAGGTTGTTCCCCCCGCGTTTTTCTCCTCCCCACCCCCTTTCAAATGTAACTCATTCAGAGTGCGGCAGGTGGCCAGCCAGGTGCCAGCAGCATCAGCGGCAGGAGGCGGGGAGGCAAGCAGGTGCCCCTGCTCCGCCCCTGCCTGGCGTGTGCGTCTGGAAGAACCGTGCTGCGCTCTGAAGGTCTAGCAAGAGCACTGCAGGTGTCTGAAGAGCGGTCTCCACCGGCGGCATGTCCACATGGGGCGGTGTACCAGGGTGTACCGCCGTCTCTATAGTCTGACTACCGTTCAACGACAGATTCGCCCCAAATTTTGGGGCGTTCGCCTGTCGTTGGCAGTGGCTTGGCCCCCTGCTAGCGATGCACAGCACAGAGAGCACCCAGCAACCTGCTCTTCCAGCCCCAGCAGCCTGTTTTCACTCTGACCTTTTGTCGCTGCTTGAAGCACTCAAAACATGCTCTTGTGCAAAGGAATGGGCCTCGGCAGCCTTCCCGCGCTGCGCCGCACGGCCAGCGCAGGCGACACAGACTTAAGCGCCGGGCTCCTGTTTGAGGAGCGTGGCGATGAAGGCTGCAGGTTGGTGACTGGCTGTAGTGGGCCGCGGGGCTGCGGGGCACGAGTGGATCTGCAGGCCATGGAGGACAAGTTGCCGCATGCGAATTGGGGCAGACCAGCCCCGCAGCGACATTGGATCCATGCACTGATCATACCTTTTAGTGAGGATGGAGGCATCTATATTGATTGCCAAACTTCGCCAGGCATCCTCAAGGGACAGAAGGATGGGCAGGCTGCGCTGGTCGAGCACGAGCGAAACAAAGACGGCATGGAGGCGCTCCCAAACAGTCCGCCGCTGGGTGGCCTCGACGCAGATGATGTAGCCCCACCTGGCGCAGCAGCGCCAGAGGTAAGTAGCATGCTGCCAATATCGTTGGGCCAAAAGATCTTGTCCACCTGCGTGCCACCGAAGGGCACTTGACGAGCAGCGGCATCGTGTGCCCCCTGGCCCGCTCAGTGAGGGTGAGGAAGAAGCCACTGGTGCCTCCTGCTGCTTCCATTGCTGTCTCTGCTGCCTGCTGCACTGCTTGAGTTGCCTCGAGAGCTTTGCTGTGCTCGAATGCTGCCTCAAAGCCTGCAGGCAGTTTTCCGCTGGGCGGCGTGACTGCCGCCTCCCAAGTGCCGACATGGTGGGTGCCAGGAGTGTACTTTGCAGCGTCCTTGGCCTCTTAGTCGGGATTTAAGTCCCCCAAAAGCTGCCGGCGCAATTCCATGCTCTCCTCCACTAGTTTTGAGTTTCAGCGATCGGTAATCTCCTCGCCCCGCCTCCATGCGCGCTTTTTAGACGCTGATACTATCACACATCAGTTTCTGCGCTGTGCAGCGGAGGTCTTGGCCACAGCTGCGTTTGGGCGGCGGCGCCCATTGGCGGGCAGCATGTGGGGCACAAAGCCAGTCGCCTGGAGGGCGGAAAGAGACACCCACATCATGCTAGACCATCGGCAATAGAGCGGGGATGCAATGGCGGCGAGTATTGGGGGGGCGCAAACTTGGGTGGTGCTGTGCTGGCCACCCTTGGGGAAAACTGCCCAGCTGGCAAGGCGTCCCCACCTTGCTCTACACCTTTGTGGTGCACACGATCAGTTGGCTCTCCAAGACCTTGGCCCGCATCCTCATGCTCTTGCGGCGCTCAAAAGCTTGGGGCGCAGTGCTGCAGAGCCTTGCCGCCAAGCCTGCTGCCCTTGGTGTGCGTGGGGCCTCGGGCGCGGCACCCAGCGCGCCGGGCAATGTAGAGGAGAGAGGAGCGCCGGCAGAAGGGGAGAGCCTGCTGGCCTACTGGAAGGGCTTGTTGGACGAGCGGCAGGGCGGCACCGCAGGCGAGCGGGCTGTTCATCTTCTCCTTCTGCGACCCCCCCTCAAGCTCCTGGCGACGGGAAGATGCCCGCAACGTGCCCAGCCGCCCTCTGCAGCCCCAGCAAGGCACCTTCACACCCGCCATACTGCCAACCTTGCTGCCGTTTGCAGCCGCAGGTGCCCCGCTGAGCCATGAGGACGTGCGGCAGCTGCTGCACACAGCGCTGCGGCTACGGCAGGGCCGGGGCCAGTCTTCGGCGCTGCCCGAGCAGCTGCTGGCCCTGTTTCAGCAGTGCTACCACGAGCTGGGCCGGCCAGAGCGGCTGGCGCTCTTCCGGTCCCTCACCGCCACCTTTGGCATCCAGGCCCACGAGCTCGACACTGCGGTGGCTGCCTGGCAGCACCTGCGCCAGCAGCAGCAGCAGCAGGCTGAGCAGCAGAAGCTGGGGGGCGAGGTAGGGCCCACAGCTGGTCCGGCCCCAGACCAGCTCTTCAAGGCAGCGGCACAGCTGTCGGCGGCCGCCACACCGCTGTACACACGCCTGCTTTCGCCGCTGAGCCAGCAGCCGGGTGGCATCAAGTTTTTGGTGGACATGCGGGGGGAGCTGCTGCAGGTGCGAGTGGGGGTGGGAGAGTTTCTGGGAAAGAGGGCCTCAGGGTCACAGGACGGTTGGGCGAGGATGTGGCGGGGTGGACAGGAGCTGCGACTTGTTGTGACTCGCTACACTTGGCTGTGGCTGGTTGACTGCAGGCCATCCAGGAGCACCCATCGGGCGCTGCGCCACTGCGTGCGCTGTCGGAAGCGCTGCGTGGATGCCTGGCAGAGTGGTTCGGCGCGGGTGAGTTGCAAGACGGTGTGGTGCCTGAGACCTATTGCCTGCGGTGATTGCACTGAATAGCACAGCATCCAGGGCCGCTGGGTTGGCAGCTTAGGGAAAGTGCTATCATCACAGAGCCTCCGCCGACGTTGCGCGCAGGCCTGCTGCAGTTGCGTCGCATCAGCTGGGAAGGCAGCAGTGCCGCGCTTCTAGAGAAGGCAAGCCGTCCATGGCAGCGGCCAGCCTGCGATTGCTACTTCTTCATGGAACTGCCTGCGCTGCTGTTGGCGCTTCACTGATTACAACAGGGAACCATCACCTGCCGCCACTGAACTAACCCCAAGGCTCCACGTCACACTGCCCTTCCAACCCGCCGCGCAGATTGCTGCCAGGGAGGCCGTGCACGAGTTTGGCGGCTGGCGGGACCTGAAGAGCAGGCTGAGCGCCAAAAACCGGAGGTGGGGTGCTGGATTTGCCAAAAGCTATGGTGAACTCACAGCCACCTGCTGGAAGTTAGGCTGCCTCTTCTTGCTGGCCTTGCACTTGCACCGGGCGTCAGCAGTGCTGCACTGGCACGTTACCTGCAGGGTGTATGCCTTCTTTCACAACGCCATGCCGGAAGAGCCTCTGGTGGTGCTGCACACCGCGCTGGCCCACAAGGTGGCGCACAACTTGCGGCAGCTGCTGCCGCACCTGGACCCCGGCCGCAGCCCGCCGGGGCACAACGGCCACCGCCACGCCCACACCGCCCTCTCGGAGCGCACATGGGAGGAGCAGCCTCGCCTGCTGGAGCCCCACCATCCCTACCAGGCCACGCTGGACAACGATGCGTCCTTGGCACTGCCGTTCGGGCACCAGCAGGCGCAGCAGGCGCAGAGGGGCCAGCCCCCGAGCGTGGCCGTCTTCTACTCCATCTCCTCCACTCAGCGAGGCCTGACAGGAGTGGACCTGGGCAACTTTCTCATCAAGCAGGCAAGACCTTTGCTTTTGGTTTGGTCGGTGTCTTGTTAGCATCTGGGTGGCTCAAGCAAGAGCCCGTGGCACCGCCCGGCTGTTATCAGTGTAGCAACCTCCTTGCTTGCGCCTGGCAGCCACTCCTCAGCCCTGACCGCCTGCATCCCATGCATGCAGGTGGCGCACCAGGTGCAGTCTGAGTTTCCCAGCGTGACCACGCTGTGCACGCTCAGCCCGCTGCCAGGTCGGCGCCGCTGCAGTGCGTGTTGGAAAAACTTCAGGCCTTGCAATGCATCCGGCAGCGCCGAGCTGTCATGCTGCCCGTCTTGGCGATTCACTAAGGCACCTTGCACTCCTTGTTGCCTGTGCAGGCTTTGCCGACTGGTTGCGGCTGCAGCTGGCTCGTGTGGGCCAGGGCCTGCTCCCATCGGTGCCACTGTTGCTGCCGGGGGAGGCGGAGCAGCTGGAGGAGGTGGCGGCTGGGCACCTGCCAGGACTGGGGTGGACGCAGCATGGGGAGCATCAGGGGGCCACAGCAGCGGAAACCGGCAAGGGCGGCAGCAGCACCGGCGCCAGCAGCAGCAGCGAGCAGCAAAAGCAGCAGCAGCAGCAGGCGGAGCAGGAGCGTGCTGCTGTGGTACTGGGCTGGGCCCTGGCCGATGATGCCTGGCTGCACAGCAGCCGGCTGGAGGCGGCGGTTGAGCCGGTGCTGATGCGCCTGGCTGCACACTACCTGCTGCTGGAGCGGCGCAGGTGCGCGGCGGAGGCCCGAGCAAGACTGCGCTGCAAATCATGCTGGTGGCATCACAGCAGATTTGCTAGACCGCATGCTTCTCTCCTACCTCCTGTTCGTTTGCCTGCGTGGCTGCCTACAGGGGCCTGGCGCTGGACCCAGTGGCCAACTTCCATCTGCGCAACGGCGCAGCGGTGATGCAGCTCAACTGGCACGCCGACACGTCGCCGGCGGGGCTGCGGCGCAGCCACGGCATCATGGTGGGCTGGAGCTGCAATGGAGGGGGTCATTAAATTGATGGCTGCTCTGTTCGTCGGCCCTTGCGTTGCCAGCCACCAAACCTTCTGGTTTGGACTGGAGATGGCCCGATGGCCTGCTGATCGATTTGAACAACAACGGTACTCACCTGCTGCAGGTCAACTACCAGTATGAGCTGGATCGCCTGCACGACAACAACCGAGCCTACCTGGTGGACAGCCGCGTCCCCGCAGCACCGGCTGTGGAGGCGCTGCTGGGGCCGCACGGGTGAGCAGCGGGCAGGTCCTCGGGGCGGCGGTCAGGGGCTAGGCTGGCGGGCAATGATAGCACCGGCTGAGCCCGCCCTCGTCCTGTACACAACTGTGCTCTTCGGTTTGTTTTTGCTATGATGCCTGAACTGCTTGAATCATCTGTGCATTTACACTCAGTCGCCACTTTTCTGGTTAGCTTTGTGTGTGAGTCTATTTGGCATTGGACAAGGATAGAGAAGTGAGATAATGTGGCATGGCAAATGAGATGAGCAGGCAAAGGGGCCAGCGACAATGGGGATGCAGGGAATGAAACAGAAGGGAACAGAGCAGAGGCAAAACGAAGAGGTCCAGGGTGCCCCACAAACACAGACCAGGCACAATCCAGCTGTTGGGTTCAAGGGGGGGTGTATTCAAATCAAGGGGGGGTGTTATATAAGGATGGATGCGAGGGGGCATTGCACGTTATGCGGCTTGCGCAGACTTCAACATTGACAGCACAGCAGGTCTACCTGTAAAACTGACTGAGCAAGCTCTACGCGAGAAGGCGAACACGATCTGGCGTGTGCACCGGATGACTGCGGCAGTGTCTGAAACAAAGAGCTATCCGGCTCAGGAGGGGGAGGAGGCCCTGAGCTCCTCCAAGTTCTGGGCCAAAGCTGCCGCCGCCTGCTCGCTGCGACTCTTATGCAGCGCCTCTTCTGGATGGCCCTGCTCGACTGCCTCTGCAGCTGCTGGTGCAGGCTCGCCTTCCTCCCCCGCCATACCCTCCTCTGCCTGCTCTGCCGCCTCTGCCTCCTCTCGCGCTGCCATGGCCGATTCATACTCACGCAGCTGCTGCAGCGCCACAAACACCTGCACAAGCAGGAAGCGTAAGAGAGGGATCCACTCCGACGAGCTATTGTGCCGCACCTTCAGCAAGCGCACATTACCGCACCAGCCAAGTCGGCCGGCAAAAAGCTGAAGGTAACCATCGATTTGCCTGGGTCGCACGAGCACTACCCCTAGAGTTCATGACACCGCAAGGCATAGGTCTGGAGAGCAGCAGGTGCCTCAACCAACCTCCATCGCCGGGGCGCACCTGAGGCCCACTCTTGTCTCCACTTGCACCCTCCTGCTGCTCCTTCAGGCTCAGAAAATCGGCGGTCGCCCCCAGCTGCTGCTCCGCATCGTCGGCAACCGCAAGATCCTGCTGTCCCTGCTGGAAGCTCTGCAGGAAGGGGCATCCCATAAACGGCTTGAGCAAGAGTTGTTCAAACAAAATAACCCAACAAGCAGCCCTTGAGCATGAAGCCAACCCCACGGGGCAGGCTCAGCAACCCCACCATCCCTGCACACAACATCCCCCGAACATACCCACACTTTTTCACCTACCTTCAGCTCCACAAGCGTGTTGGAGCCTAGGCCCGCGTCTTGGCTGCTGCTCATTTCAAAAGGGTCTGGCGGCAGCGGGGATGCGCCGCGCACGGGGACTGCAGGCAGCGGGCAGCGTAGATCGGGGGAGGGGCGCCAGGCATGTGCGCTGTTGCGGGACAAGGGAACAGCAGCACACCAGCTGGTGCGTGGGTGCGCAGGCCAGGCAGTATGGAGCACGGGCAATCTGCTGGGCGGCACGGCGGTACCCACCCGCTCCCTTGGCAGGCGAGGTGGGGGGCAGGGCGGTCTTGCCGTCGCGGGTCACCACCAGCCCCTCCTCCCCCGCAGGCAGGTGCACCTCGCCTCGAATGTCTTGCTCCAGAGCGGCATCCCCCTCCCCTGCCTCCCTGTGCTCCTCCTCATCCACCAGCTGCTCCACCTCACCCCCCTCTGCCGACAGCACCTCTGCCGCCGCCTCGGTGGCCACCGCCGCCGCCGCCTGCAGCGCCTGCCGCTGCTGTGCGTCGGCCAGGGCGGCGGGCGTGGCTGGCGTGCTGGCCGCAGCCGCAGCCTGCCTGCTCACCGCCACCGCCCCACTGTCAATGGCAGCTTCCGGGCTGGTGAACTGTGACGGCGGGGCTGCGGGGGGCGCTGCACCAGCCTCGGACGACGCCGATGGAAGTGCTGCACTGGCGCCTGCCGCTGCTGTCGGCACCGCTGAGGCGTGGGGCAGGGGGCCGAGGTTATTGTGTTGATGTTGCACCTGCTCCAGCTCCTGCTCTTCCGTCTCTGCAGGTGGTCCGGCAGGAAGACAAGGCGGGCAGGTGGTGTGGGCAGATGGCAGCGAGGTGCAGGCCGCGCGAGCCCATGGCTGGCCCCCCGCAGGCAAGCCCACCCACCCGACAGCTCATCCTCAGTGAAGCTGAGCAGCATCAGCTGGCGGTGCACGTGCGCCGCATCCTCCCGCACATCCTGCGGGAGCAGGTCGCCAAGGGCAGCTAGCCCTGCAACACGCGATGCGCAGCGGCATGCGGCTCAGTAGGCGGCAGCGTGGCAGGCAGCCGATTCAGCGGCAAGTCGGCGGGGTCCGCTCACCTCCCGCTGCCGTCCGCAGCTCTGCAGCCGCCGCCTGGAACTCGACTGCATCCTCCAGCGGCCAGATGGAGCTGGGCCTGGTGCCCGCACACTGCAGCAGGCAAAAGCAAGGGTCTCAAGGGGGCCCATGCGGAGCCTGGGCGGTGGGCCATGGCACCAGCGGCAAGAAGCGCGCACCTGCGCCACCAGCTGCTCCGCCTGCCACAAAGCGCTGACGGTGGCATCTACGGCCATGAACACCCTCTTGGAGCCTGCAGGGTGGGCGGCACTCAAGGTCGTGTTGCTGCCGCCACCAGTGGCATCGGCGCCGCCGGCACCCTGAGCCGAGACCGCTGCTGTCGCTCTGAGCTGCTCTATGGAGAGCCCCAAAACCCAAAGCACTACCTCGCAACGCCTCATTCGTCCTGAGAGAGAGCCCCACTTCGCTGACGACCAAGCCTAGCTTGCTGGCGAATCGCGCCAGCTTCAGTGTCTCGATGCGGCCAGTGCCGGCGTCGCTGGGAGAGCTCTGCAGGCAGGTCCTCAGTGTATTTGCGACACATTCACTGGCAGCATCGATGAGTCCCTCCATGGTGTCGGCTGAAGTGCGATAAATGTCGCCAGGTGATGGATGGCCTCCTCAGAGATGCTCCGCCTCGCTTCCGCCATCAATGACCCTCGCCAGGTCAGCATTGTTGTCGAGTCGCTCGAAACCCAACACCGAGAACCGAACGAACTCAAACCCCTTTCAGACCTGCCTAGGTGCAGTCAGAACACACTGTGTTCTCCCGGTGCGCAGCTACCCAATATGCAAGCGCTGCGATGGCGGCCTCCGCCGCTGTGCAGCGCTCAAGGCTCGCCATCGGTGCTGAGACCATCTATCAGGCAGCTTGCGCAGCCGCACGGCGCCGAGACACTAGCGCAACCCCGCCCCACGACCACCTGCCGCCGCCCCGCCACCCGCCGCCCTCCGCCAAATGGAGGGCAGCACCTGCCGCGCAGGGTGCAGGCTTATGCGGAACCTTTCCAGCCGGAAAAGCCGTACCATAAAGGTGCGCAGCTATGCTGCTGATGCATCAACACTGCAGTTTGGTTGGAAACATAAACATGCATTGCCCCCACAAGCAGGCGTTGTGGACTCGCCGCAGCCAGAGGACGGCACCGTCACCTTCCTGGGCCTCACTTTTTCAGACGTGTATTACGCGATAAACATCTTCTACTGGTCCGCCCTTCTGGTGTCGGTACTCACCGGCAACGAGCTCCTGAGTCGGCTGATTCATTTCGAGCACTATGCAACGGGTAGGTGATGGGTGGAGATGATGTCCTTGAGGTGGACATTAGCGGGGGCCAATGCTGGGTGACTGGCGGGCCAGCTTTCAAGGTGTTTCCGACAACAACAGGGCAGGACACATCAAATTCTTGCAGGCATGTTTGCCTCCAGCGCGCTGTTCACGCTGTACCACACGGTGCGGTTCGTGCGGGACCTGCAGCAGCACCTGAAGGTAGGTGACCCCCACCCCATCCCCTCGTGCTGCAAAACAAGTGCCAGCCATCTCCTTGCAGTCCAAACCAGCTTCTAGGGTGCCCCTGTCCCGCCCTGCGCGCTGCAGGGCGACGCGCGCAACGACTGGCGCCTGATGCTGCGATACCTTTGGAATGCCGTGTTCTGGCTGGGCTTTGTGCTGTGGTATGCGGCGCCCCCGGTCACCTCTGTTGCAGACTACACAGGCACCCCAGGGGCCGTCATGTGCGTGTTCGGGGCAGCGGTAGCGGTGGCGGCGGCGCTGCAAGTGGGGATGGTGAGCCGCAGCTGCACGTTCTGGTATACTGCCCGCCCTGGCCGCCGGTCTTGCCCAATGCACCCCCTGCCATCCTGCTGACTGGCCTGCACCCCCTGTGGCATGGTTCCTGCTGCGGTCACCATTCGATGCTTCGTGTGCACCCCTACTGCGCTGCAGTTTAGCTTCATGGGCAGCCCGCAAGTGCCGCGGCGCCTGCAGACGAGGGGCGTGTACGCGCTGCTGCGCCACCCGCAGGCTTTTGGTAACATGTGCTTTTTGATAGGTGCGTTGATTGGCTGACATGCGGGAGAGCCAAGTTGGCCAGGGCAGCATGCGGCAGGGAGAGCTGATGGGATCTGGGCATCCGAGCTGCTGCCTGCTTGCTCTGCCTGCGGCCGCCACAACCCTTCCTGCCCTGGGCCTGCAGGCTTCTCCATGGCTGGCGGTGCGTTGTGGGCCAGCCTGACCTTCCTGGCTGCCGCTGTGCTGTACAGCGCCACGGTGTTGCCGCTGGAGGAGCGCATGCTGAGGGAAGCTTTTGGAGAGAAGTACGAGCGGTACATGTGAGCTATGGCGCGAGGGAGTGCGAGGAGTGACAGCATGACAGCGCTAGTGAGGACGCTGCCAAGGAGCTGGGAAGGCAGGAGGGGGCGCCCACTGGTTTTGACAAGCTCTTTGCCTGTGTGGCGTGCGCCTGTGCAGGGCACGAACGCCTGCTTTTGCCTGGGCGCTGGCGCTGCTGGTTCTGCTGGAGCTGGTGCTGCTTTGGCGCTTCCAGGCAAGAGAGCAGCAGGGGCGGCATGCCCCTATGCTTTAAAATGCGCCAGCATGCTAACGCATGCTGCGGTCCTGTGGTGCAGCCATGGGCGGTGCCCATCGACGCCACGCCGCCGCCCAGCCTGCCTGGCAACTAGGCGCGACGGCCCTTGCACTGGGGGGCCTTGCTCAGGATGTGCAGCACAGCATACTCTTGGTTCCAAGCTGGCATGATGAGTTGAACAGCACCACTGAGACGTCTTTTGCAGCCTGCATCCGTTGCTTGATGATCGGTGTATACTCTTAAGTGTAATGTCTGCCTGCGTAACCAATGCATGCGCAGCTCTGTGTTGGCAGCATTGTCACTCATAAGAATCGCACTGGACAAGGTACACTGCCCTCCTTGTTTGAAAAATCAGTGTTTTGGGCATTGATGCTCACAAATTGATGGGGTCTATCTGACGGGCAGTGTGGCGGATCGGAAGGCGGTGGAAGGGGGCTAACATCAGCCAGTGACGGGGCACAAAGCCAGCTGTGTTCACGTATTCACACAACAGATCGACGGCAACCTCGACGTTTTACGCACAGCTGCCATCACTTGGGAAGGCCAGTCTGATTGGGGCCAGTAGCGACGGCCTCGCGGGGGCAGATGCGGAGGCAGTTTTTGAAGAACACCAGGAACGGGTAGCAGGTGGCCTCGTCCGTGTTGGAAAGCAGGCCAGAGATACTGGGGTCGGAGGCGTCCCTGCAAGCGCGGCCAGTGTGGGTGGCATGGCGGCGGCGCTAATCGCCAAGCCTTAAGGGCAAGCGCTCAGGTCTGGACAGGAGAAGCGCACGCCGCCATCTGCCGGGCATACGATACTCACCAGCAGTAGGGCCCGCACTTTTTGTAGCCAGCGGGGCAGGGGCTCTGGACCCCAGAGCAGCTCACCTGCAAAAGAGGCAGGGGAGCAGCTGCCTCAGCCTGGAACGGCATGGGTCTCAGCGAGGCGGGGAGTGGGGGGCCTTCTGGCAGGCAACCACACACACAAGAGGGGTGGGCACGCACCGAGCCATTAGGGTGCAGTTCCGGGAGGCCACAAGTACACCTATAGCAGAACAGGCCGTTGGGGGTGGTGACCGGAAGAACCGCTGCGGGCGGACACAAGAGGATGGCACAGCAGGGTCAGCACACAATCCTTAGCACTCAGCGTGATGGCGGGGCTCCCGCCAGCAGATCAGCGTCGGACTCGGCAGCCTGCACCGCAGCCCCACCTGCCAGACCTTTCCCGGCAGCCCCGCTCACCGGGGGGCTTGGACGGGCACGCCACGCTGGTGGTATTGCGGGGCAGAATGTCCAGCTTGACCTCGTCAGCATCGCACGGCTTTCGTGGCAGGCACTTGCGGTCCACCGTCCTCTGCTTGCCGGTCAGGCTGGCGCACACGGTGTCGGAGATGAAGATGGGGAAGTCGTCGGGGCACTTCTTGCTGCAGCATTTCTGCTGGCCAGGGGGAAAGGCCACGGGGGCAGCGCAGCCAGGGGGAGAGAGCGGGCAGGACAGGGTCAGGCTGCAGGGCGGAGGGAACTGGTGCCGAGGCGACACGGGCGCACCCCCCGCTGCGCTGCCGCCGTGTGGCTGGTCGCGACACGTAAATTGCTAGCGACTAAAACCACTGCCACACACACATGCTGGACGCCCCCTCACCAACGGGGACGAGTTGACGAGAAAGGGGTAATTGGCCCAGTCTGACTGGTTGCACTTCTGGTAACACCCCGAAATATCCTCCACGCCGGTCTGCTTCTTCACCGCGACGTACTCACAAGTGCGCTCCTTGCAACTGCAGGCAGGAGTGGAGGGCACCGGATTATAGGGGGGATGGGGTGGGGTGGTGACAAAGCACATGCTCCGATTTTAGCAAAAGTCTCGTGGTAGCCGTACACGTGTCTGGGGGGCCGACAGCTCACCGCTTGCAGGTGACCATTTTGTCAGGGATGGACACCACCACGGGCACCCAGGGGGGCGGCACTTCGGCCTTGGGGCACCGTGGCATGCACCACTTCAAGTTCCTGGTTCTGTAACCGCCTGGGCATGGCTCCCAGCAGCTGTAGAGGCAGGAAGGTGGGCAGTCAGGACAAGCTCCAGGATCGGTCTTGGGCGTGCTGCCCAGCCTCGAGGCGACTCACAGGGTGGGGTCTTTGGCGTCGGGGACAGAGTCAGCAGGGCACCTGGCCCTCACCGCCACCGGCTTGCAGTCGCCGTAGGAAGTGCAGATGGATGGGGGGTCCAGCTTAAGCAGCTTCCGCCTGGTGGCGCCCAGCGGCTGCGGCAGAAGGCGGGCGATGGCAGCGGGACAGCGGGCGGGTGAGCCTCGAGGGCTTTGCCTGTGCTCATCCACTGTCACGGCCGGGGCCGTGCAGGCAGCACGCCTGTGGCAGCGGCAAGTGCACCATTGGCACGAGGAGCTGACTGGCAGGTGGACAGGACAGCTGCACCAGCATGCCAGGCATCTGACTCAAGCTCGCGCCTGGTTCATGCCCGCGCCTGCCGCGCAGCAGGCTGCTGCCAGCAGAAGCGCAATGGAGAGGAGCTTGATCGTCATCTGCTGGTGTTTAAGCAAAGGCGGAGGGTTTCTGTCTGGCCCAGCTGGTGCGAGGCTGCGCAGTGCGGCTCAAACTGCGCGCCAAATAGAGTGAAGGAAGATATCTCTTCTTTCAGATAAATGATGTCTCAGGAGCTGCTGCGGAAGTAAACGAGGCGCCTTCCTTCGCGCCTTCCTCAGTACCGGCTCTCAGCTCTGCTTCGAGTTTAGCCCCGATATGCGTAACAGAGTTGCTGCGAAGCTGGCTCCAGCTTCTGGGCTGGTTCCGCAGGTCCTGCCCCGTAGCTTGTGGGGCTGGCGGCGCCGCCACCGCCGTTGATCATGAGCGCCTGGCGGCGGCAAGCTCGTGGCGGGCTCCACAACTTTCCCCCACACTGATGGCCATTGGCTGATCAACAAGACATCGATCACCTGGCACAATTAAAAGCTAGGCGCTGGCGCTTCGCGTGGCTGAAACCCACTGGGCCACTGCCCGCCGAGCGCTCGCGGCGTCAGGCTCCCACTGCTCCTCTCCACGGTCGCTCTTCTCTTGCCATCCCCCTTCTCTCTCCGCAGTTGTAAATGGTGTGCTGCAGAATCGGCTGCCACGGGCAGAGGCTGGGCGGTCCACATCGCCGCCAGGTGGCGGTTCCTACCGCCAGTTCAGCATTCGCACAACTGTACGTGCATTTCTTCATCGATCGACACACATGCAAATGCTACAGCGGGCGGCAGCCGCAGCACGGGCCTCCCGCAGCACCCTTGCCACCAGCGCGCCTCGCTTGGTCCCTTGGCCAGCCTGCCCTGCTCGGTGTGCCAACGCGGTGATCGAACGCAGCATCATGAGCAGCGCAGCGACCCCGTCAGCCGCGGGGCATGACATTGCAGACGGCAATGGGCAACTGAGGTGGCTGTTTTGCCCCGCTGTCATCGCACATTTGCCCTGCGGCTGACTGCCTGCTGCCTGCTGGCTGGCAGCAATCGGGGGACAGGGGCTGTGCTCTCAGCGCGGCGCCCTTGGCTTCCATCTGGCCGGTGCGGCAGCGCCAGTCACACTGAGATTAAGTTCTCGAACGGCTGCAGGATTGGGGTCATCGGCGCGGGGGCTAACACGAAGCTCCGGCACATACCCAACTTGCAGGCAAGCAGCATTGCCATCAAGCTTCACATCCCTCAAGATGAGCGCACACCCGTCACCTGCCACCATCTGTTTCATCACTGGCTGCAGGACATACCTGGGGTGCACATCACAACCGTTTGCAACCGCACCCTGGGCTCCTCACGTGCCGCCGCCGCCGCGTTTGGCATCCCCGGCGCCACTTCAGATTGGAAAGAAGTGATCAACGACCCCAGCATTCACGCTGTGGTCATAGGCACCTGGCCCAACATGCATGCCATGCTGACCATCGCGGCGCTAGAGGCGGGCAAGCATGTGCTCTGCGAGGCCCGCATGGTGGGTGGCAGATATAGGGGGATGGGGAGATTGATGGGGGAAGTAGGATGCAAGCCAGCATCAGCCTGGACACTGCTGCTGCTGCCTATTCCCCACGGCTGGCGCTTGCGCAGGCCATGAATGCGGCAGAGGCACATGCGATGCTGGCTGCGTCGCAGCGCCAGCCTGGCCTGGTGGCTCAGCTCGTGCCCTCCCCCATCACCCTGGGCTTCGATGCCGCAATACAAGACATCCTGCGCTCCGGCAAGTGAGTGGGTGGGGTGCAGAAACCAGGCAGGGCGGGACTGGCAGAGGGCACTCAGCAGGCAGACGATGATGCCTTGCCCCGCCATCAGCATGTTGCTGATGACGACCAGGCTGTGCCGAACCTGACACGGGCGCAGGCTGGGCCAGCTCACCTACATCTCTGTGCGCGGCGTGGGGCGGCAGTTCCCCGACCCACTCGGCGCGCCACTGCACTGGCGCCAGGATGCCGAGCTGTCGGGCCTCAACATTCTGAGCATGGGGATCGTCTATGAAGCCCTGGCCAGGTGGGTGGGAGGCAGTGTACTGCGTCATGGCAGCCTCGGAGCCGCAGTGCGAGATTTGAGTGGCAGCGAGCCGCCTGCAGCCGCCCTGAACCCTGCTCCTGCTGCTGCGCCCATGCCTCTCGGTCGGTGCCCTTCGTGCGCCGCACAGGTGGGTGGGCGATGCGCGGCGCGTGATGGCCATGGCCAGGACGGTGGTGGGCCTGCGCCTGCACCCCGACACGGCGGCGCTGACGGGGGTGCGGGTGCCAGACCATGTGGACCTGCTGGCAGACATGGCCTGCGGCGCGCAAGCCCACATGGTGTTCTCTGCCGTGGCAGGTGGGTCTGGCACCCTGCTGTGCGGTGTGGGCACCGTGTTCCTTGTTTGCCAGCCGGGCAGCGCTCAGCAGGTGGGGGATGCGCAAGGCACGGCCACGCTTCTCGCGCTGCTGGCACGTGCCAGGGGATGCGCATGTTGGAGCACAGTGGGCGCACGCGGCAAGCCTGTGGCGCTTTGCGGCCCCACACCGCAGGCGCTGCGCGGGAGCCCAGCACAGAGTTCTGGCTGCATGGGACGGAGGGGACACTTCACCTGGATGTAGATGCAGGGCAGTTGAGCTTGGCACTCAAGTCAGGTGGGGCCTGCCGGCCACGTAACTACCCGCCTGCCAGTCCTGCGCCTCTCCCCCTCCACAGTACCAGCTTGCAACTTCATGCCATTCCCATGCCACGCTATGCTGATGCTCAATGAACGGGCTGGCGGCCGGCGGCACGGCGGGGCTGCAGAGGGCGGGTGCATGCAGGCGGTAGATGTGCCGCACGAGCACCGGGGCTTCTGGCGGGTGGAGCAGGAGTGGGTGAATGCGATGCGGGGGCGGGAGGCCGTGAAGCTCACAGACTTTGCCACCGGCGTGCGTTACATGGAGTTCACCGAGGCTGTGGCCCGCAGCGCGCAGAGCGGCCAGGCGGTCAGCCTGCCGCTGCTGCCCTCCCGCTGAATGGCCTGTCCCATGCGTGCCTGTGCTGATGCTCCAAGTCGTTTCCAGCAATGGCGATGTGTCAGCAGTTGTAATGATGATGTGTAAGCAGTTGTAAGGGCTGGATCACTCCTTGCCAAACACTGAAGGGCTCCGGCTCCAGCGGTCGCAAGATTTCTTGTGAATATCATGATGTAAATGCCAGGTTGGTAGGACAAGGCATGGTACTGCTCACTGCTCCCTCCTAAGTTCTGTCCCCGCCGACTTGTTAAAAGGCATATGAAGGTGTGCTCCTGATCCACAAGCACACCTCCATCGGGAGAAGACCGGGGCAGTGGAGGCACGCGGCCCCCACGGCCAGTAGCTGCCGTTTCAATCACCGCCGCCGTCATCCTGCTGCTGCTTGCCGGCGATGAGCTTGAGCAGGCTGGAGGAGAGCATGGGCGCTGCTGCATCGGTGACTGGATCCGCCTTGGCTCGCCGCTGCCCATACATGCGCAGCACCTTCACGCCGTCGCCGCCGCCACCCGTCGCCGCGCCCTGCCGCGCCGCCACTGCTTCATCGCTGCTGGCAGCTCCCCGCTGCTGCTTGGCAACCCGCTGCTCGGCCTGCTGCGCTGCAGCGCCTGCATCCTGGCCCGCGCCGCCCTCTGTCGCCGCCGGTGACTGCTCGTCCCCGCCGCCACCGCCGACGCGCTTGCGCTTGCGCTCCATCATGGCAGTGACTGCCTTTGCCTTGTCCACGCGGCTGCAGGTGGTGGCGGCAGCGGCAGAACCAGCAGGTCAGGCAACAAGCAGCGAGGCAGGGAAAGAAAGCGGCAGAACAGAACAGAGAGGCTGGCAGCCTGCGGCATGCCACCGGGCATCCCCACCACGCAGCAGGCAGCCAAAGCAGACAGCTCCCCGGGCGCCCACCTGAGGTAGAAGTCTCGCTCCCTCTTGGCCGCCGACACCTCCGCCGCCAGGCGCTGCTCCCGCACCGCCTTCTGGTAGTTGATCTCCTCTGCAGGACGGGTTGGCATGGAGCACAGCTTAGAGGGGCAGCAAGGGGTTGGCATGGGGCGTGGCAGGAGGCCAGCCAGGGGTTGGCATCCCCCCGCCGCCCCTCCTGTTCCTTCCCCCGCTGCTCCTCCACCCCGCAACAGCTCCACCCCCCAAGGCTTGCTCTCGTCCCGCCGCCTCCCCTGGCCCCCGCACCGGTGAGGTGGTCCCACTTGAACTTGGGCAGGTACTTCATGCACCACAGGTCGTAATAGTAGGCAGACCGCCGCTTGCCCCCCATCTGCTGCCCATTCAGCATGGCCGCCACCTGCAGGGATGCAGCGGGGGGGCAAGGTGCGAGAGCAGGCCACGCATGGAGCTGGGCAGGCAGCCGGAGGGGGAGTGGATTGCGTCGCAGATCTGCATGCTCCTCTGCTGGTGGGGCAGCAATGGCAGCAAAGTCCCGGTAGGTGCAACGTCGATCGCCGGCGCCGGCCCCTTCCTGTCCCCTGCTCTGCCCCACCCCTTGCTGTCCCCCGCGTTGCCGCACCTCCTTGGCCTTCTGCTTGTCCTCAAACTCCACCCAGCCCTCCGTGAAGTTCTTGCCGCTGTTGCCGCCTTGCTGCTTGCGCTTCCTTCGCAGACCCGGGTCTGCAGCGGCGGCGGCAGCCGCAGCAGGCTCAGCAGGCAGGCATCAATGGCGTCCCCACAGCCGAGCGTAGGTGGGTTGCAGCACAAGCGCCAAGAGCAGGCCCAGCGGCGCCACAGCGCTGCTCATCTGGTTGTGGCAAGTGTGTGGCGCCAGGCGCACCTTCTGGCGCCAGGTACAGCCGCCCAATCTCCCCATGCTGCTCCAGCATCTGGCGCAGCTTCTGCGGCTTCTGCGGACATCCAACCAGGGCGGGCAGCAGAGCATGCGGGGCATGAGGCAGAGCTTCCACAGCGGCTTAAGCAGGCAGGCACACACTGGCAAACATGTTGCACTCACCAGGTGCGGCGGTATTCTGCTGATGTACACGATGCCCCTGCGGTCGTACTTTTCCTTCAGCTTCTGCAGCTTCTTCTTGGAGAGAGCAGGGAGCGCGGCGGCACCTGTTGCCGACGGCAGGGGCAGCGGAGTTGGAGCAAAGAAAGGAGCATCATCAGTGCGAGGTGGGAGCGACTTGAAGGGACCACAGCCCCACCCAATAATACTGTTTCATGCCTGCGGTGCCCAGGTCATTCTCACCCTTGCGCGAGGCGTGCTTGGCTGCCGGGCTGCCGCCGTCATTTGGTGCCGCCGCTGCCGCCGTCTGTTGGGGCGCCACCTCTGCGGACCCCGCGTCTCCCGGCTGGTGCTGCTGCACCGCTATGTCGTCAGCGGCTGCCCCGGTGCCCTGCTTGGCCCGCCGCTTCTGCTTCCCCGCTCCGGCATGCATGGGGCGCTAGCCTTTTTCTCTTTCAGCTGGAGACACGTGTGATAAGCGGGGCTGCGGAATCGAGCTGCAAACGGCGGAAAGTGCACCACTGAACTCCAAGTTTTGCCCGCTGCGCTGCGGGGGCGGAGCGGCGCCGGCGCTGCCAGATCGCCTGGTGCCTGGCATCGACTATTGGCTCCTCTGCCCCTCAGCTGTTGCCGTTCTGAGAGGTTGCAATCTACAGGTGTCTGCCGCCTTGACAGATGAGGATTCCCAAGCCACAAAGACTACCGGCTTCGTTGCATGGAGGCCACGCTGATGCGTGTTGCAGGCCTGCAGGGTCCCTACTCCTTGCTCGTCAGCACAAACACCCCCAGTATGGCTATCAGCGCATACTTGAACATCGGGTAGTCATTCATGATGATGGTGACCCTGCCAATGTGCGGCAGGTACCTGCAAGGGCAGCAGGACGGGGCAGCCAAGCCACACGAGGTGTCAGAACAGCGGCGGGAGGCTGCCACGCCACGCGCCAGCTGCTGGTCACGCCCTGGTTCCCGCCCAGGAGGCTTGCTGCGGGGCTGGCGCTCGCAGGGCAGCGGCCAACTCACCCCACCACTACTCCCATGATGTGGCCAGGATTGAGCCACAGCTGGCCCTTGGGGTACAGGCTGCGATCGTCGCCCCAGTTGTTGTCACCCTGCACGGGGCGGTGCGGCAGGTGCGGCATAGGACAGACCCCAGCGCATAGAAGTGTGGGCCTGACCTGCTCCCCACCCGCGCCAAGGCAGCAGATGAGTAACGAGCCGCATCTCAGCAAGCACAGCATCACGACACCACTGCTAGCGTAGCGGCGCCACCCTGCCGCCGCACCTTTGTGAGGATGTCCAGGCTGCTGCTGTTGTGGGCCCGCTGGTGCACCTTGATGATGCGGTGCACGATTGGGATCTCGCGCCCATCCGTGTTGAACACAACTGCAAGAGGGGGCAGGGAGGGGCAGGGGAGAGCGCAGCAAGGCCAAGGTGAAGACATGGCAAGAAGGAGGCAGGAACCATGGTCAGCAGCTGCCGCGACAAGGTCCATCCTGGCAGGGCTGACGCTGCAGATGCAGCCACGCACTGATGTCTCCCGTCTGCACCGGCCGCTTGGGCTGGTAGAGGAAGAGGATGTCGCCGCGGTAGAACCCGGGCTCCATGCTGCCGCTTAGCACCACCACCACCTGGGAGGGCAGGAGGTGTGGGCGCGGGTAAGCAGCTGAGAAGGCATGTTTGGATGGAGCACACGTGGCACAGCAGCAGGCTGCACAGGCTCACAGTCGCTACGGCCACATGGTTTGCTAGGCAGCAGGCAGCACCAGGCGGGAGCGCACCGGCGACTCGCTGCCCGTGCCCAGTATCATGCTTTTCCAAATCATGAGGGCAGAGGTGATAATCATGCCTGCACACCAGCAAAGCCTTGAGTGAGGCTGTGGGTGCAGGAAGATAGGAAGAGGGACGGGCTGCGGGGTGGCGGCACCAGTGGCGCGAGCCAGAAGTAGCTTCTTCGCTCGTTCTTCTTCAAGCAGCTGGCTCCCTTGTTGCTACTGCTATCTCACCGAGGCCACAGAACTGGCAGCAAGCGCCCAGGCGCTCGATCACCCTCCCCTGTCGTGCAACCATTTGCAGCTGCTTCATTCAGTGCCGATCGGCTCACGCTCACCTAGATTCAACCCCTGCAGCAGCAGTTGCCGCTTGTTCATCCTGCCAAGCTCGCTGATAATCTCCATCTTGGCGGGCAGCCCGCAGCAACTTGCTGCTGTGCCTTGGGTGCGATCGACGGAAGCCAAGCCGATGATGCGGGAGAGCCGGGAAGGGGCGGGTGCTTGCGTGGCGTTGGCTTTACCACAGCCTCGTTTCTTCAACCTGCAATAACCCACCGTCTCCCCAGGTGCAGGCGGGCGTCATGGGGGTGCCGGGGCTGCACTCTTGGCTGAAACGCCGTTACCCAGAAGCGTTCGTGCCTATGCCAGCCGATTTTAGGGCCGACCACCTGCACATCGACCTGTCTTCGACTCTGCACCAAGTCATCCGCCGAGGTGCGGCTGCATGTATGCAGCAAAGTTGGCATGGCGGCGGCGGCGGCGGCGGCAGCGGCGGAATGCGTGGCGGCAGGGCCCGCGCGCCACGACACCACTGGTGTGCGTGAGAGCCCCAAGATGCCAGCAGGATGGCGAAGAACTGCGCCTGCCGCAGCCTGCAAGTGGCAGCGCCATGCTCTGAGCACCTCGCGCCCTGCCTGCCCTGCGCCTCGCAGCTCGCACCAAGCAGTACTTCCACCTCCTGCTGCACCGCCGCCTGGATGAAATTCTGGCGACGACTCGGCCAACGCAGCGTGTGGTGCTGGCATTAGACGGTCCAGCGCCACTGGCAAAGCTGCTGGAGCAAAGGTGCGTTGGCGGGAGGCCCCGGCTGCATGGCTGGCATTCGCGTGCTGGTGTCGCCTGGCCCCTGAGCAGTGTTTGCTGCTCCTGCCATTTCTCGGCAGGCGGCGGCGGCGCCGGGAGTCTGAGAAGGTACAGCGCAATGCAGCGGCGGCGGCCGAGGCGGCCGAGGCGGTGGCGGCTGCGGGCGAGGCTGCCGAGGGCGGCGCTGGTGGCGGTTTGCGGGGCGCGGCAGGCCCTGCGCCCTCCTCCCCCCCCTCCAAAGTTGTGTCCACGGTGGAGGCTCTGGCGCTGGCCCAGTTCCGGCCACCCAACCCCGAGCTTTCCACCCTGGCCCTCACCACCGGCAGCATCCTGATGCTAGAGGTCCACTCCTCGCTCTCCGCCTACATCTGCAAGAAGCTGGCAGACCCGGCCACCGCGCACCTCAGGTGAACGAGAGGAGCGGGGACGGGTGATGCTGGGAGCCGCGCGCGGGCAGGCGCACATGCCATGTCAGCGGCGGCCCTTGGTGCTGGCGTCTGACCTGGCATTGGCTCCCCGCTCCCCTCTGCCTCAGCTTTGAGCTGTCAGATTCCACGGTGAAGGGCGAGGGGGAGCTCAAGATTCTGTCCCGCCTGCTGCACCCCGGCCACGCCGGCGAGGAGGGACCCGGCGCCTGCGGTGGTGGTGACCAGCAGCAGCGGGACGAGACGCATCTGGTGCTGGGCGCCGACTCGGACCTGATTCTGATGGCGCTGGTGGCGGGGCAGGTGCGCGTTGTTGCCTTCCAGTCGTGGCCGCATACAGCAGCGCCTCTCCGCCACCTGCGTGGCAGCGCCTTGCGCTGGGCCTGCCTCGGCGCTGCCGAGCTGCGTGCCGTGTGCCCCTGCCGCCGCCTGCCGCAGAAGGGAGTCTACATCCTGCCCGACCTCCCAGATGACGGCCAGCACCGCCACCGCCGGCATCACCACCCGCGCAGCCGCGACGGCAGCCGCTGGCAGCCCGCGCCCGGGTTCAAGCGTGCTGCAGGCGCCGCCGCGCTTGCTGGCTCTTCCTTGGACAGCGTGGGCGGCAGCGTAGACACATCTAGCTCCGAGACGGAGACCGATTCGGACCTGAGCGGGCCAGAGTCGGAAGGGGAGGAGGAGGGCGCGAGCGCCGCCGAGGAGGCGGCCGCTGCGCTGGCTGCAGCCGCCGCCGCGGAGCCGCCGCCGCCGCCGCCGGCGCTGGTGTTCAGCCGCGACGCCGCGGAGCGGCTGTGGCGGGAGCAGCACCTGGGGGGCGGCGGGCAGGGGCGGGAGGTGACGGGCCTGGCGCTCGACCTGATGCTGCTGGCGGTGATGTGCAGCGGCGACGACTACCTGCCCGCCATCCAGGGCATGCAGCTGAGCAACAAGCACCGGTGAGGCCACGCATGTGCAGAGGGAAGTGCACCCGACTCTGCGAGGGGCTGGGCCTGGGGCTGGGTTTGTGGCTGGGTGCACGGGGAAGGCAGAGGTGCGTGCGCGGTGAGGGGAAGGGAGCAGTTCATGGGGCTGACACCATCTCACACTCCCCACCCCCCAACCCCCTACAGGCCTGGTGTGTGGGACCTGTACACCAGCATGCGGCAGGAGCCGCAGTGGCAGGGCCAGACGCTGGTGCAGCGCAGCTGCGAGTGCCGCGGCGGCCGCGGGCGCGGCGCCCGCGACTGCCCCACCGTGCGCCTCAACGCCGGCATGGTGTGCGCGCTGCTGGCAGAGTACCACCGCCAGCGCTTTGTGTTCATGGAAGGCCCTGGGGCGGCGGCAGGGGCGCCCGGCAGCGCCAGCTTGGCAGGCGGCGACCCGGCGCTCGCCAGCGGCGGCAGCAGCATGCTGGGCGGCGGCGGCGCTGCGGGCCTGGCTGGCGGCGGCGGCGGGGCTGTCGGTGCCACTGCTGTCGTGTGGGACGAGGAGGGGCTGGCGGCGGCGGCGGCCCTGGCCACCAGCAGCGCCGCGGGCGACGAGGCGCTGGGCGGCGGCGGCGGCGGCCGGCGGCGCCCCAACATCACGCTTCGGGGCATGGAGGCGCATCCCGAGGCTTACGTGCAGGTGGCGGCCCGCTGCCCGCTGCTGCTCGGCCCCAGCCGCCCGCGCCGCCTGCCAGTGTGGGCAGTGCCGCTCGCCGGCCTGCCGCCCTCCAGCCCACGAAGCGCCTGCACTGCTTGGCACACGCTTGCCGCTGGGCCCAAACGCCTGAATGTCGATCGCTGTGCCGCCTGCAGGGCCTGGAGTGGGTGCTGGGCATGTACTGCAGCGGGGCGATACGCGACTACCGCTTTGCATACGACCTAGCAGCCCCCTCCCTGCTGCAAGTGGTGCAGCTGCTGCAGGCGCAGCAGGAGGGGCAGCAGCAGGAGCAGGAGCAGCAGCAGCGGCAAGAGCAGGGCGGCAGCGGAGCCGGCGCCGGCGCCGGCCGCGAGGCGGCCGCAGGCGAGGGGCAGCAGGGGCAGCAGGGCAAGGTCTCTGCCGCTGCGGCGGCCAAGCTGGGGCGGCGCAAGATGCAGCCGCTGCTGCCGGCGGCGTGCGCCATGGCGCTGCTGCCCCGCGGGGGGCGCATCCACGCAGGTGTGCCCAGCCGCCGCCGCCATGGCTGCACCTGCACCTGCGCCGCTGCTTCCGCCTGCCGCCCGTCATCCCAACCGCCCGCTGGCTTGTGGCTGTCGCCACTGCTGCCGGCGCCCGCACCCCTTGCCCTCCCCGCCGCCCGCCTTACGCCCCTCCCCTCCCCCTGCCCTGCCTGCCGCGCCGGAGTGCAGCCACCGCCCTGCGCCACCTCATGGACGAGGGGTCTGAGCTGGAGGAAATCTACGCCACCTGCGACACATGCGGCCAGCTGGGGCAGCAGCTGGGCAGCAGTGAGCGGCGCCGCGCCGCTGCCGCGCCTGCCGCCTGCCGCCTGCTGCCTGCTGCCGCCGCGTTCTGCGCCCGTCGTGCCCTTGCCCTTCCATCGCCCTCCCTGCCTGCACTCTGCGCCGTCCTCCGCGCTGCCGGCCCGAGCCTTTGCACCCGCCCGCTGCCCCCTCCCGTGTGTCGCGCAGTGGCTCGGGAGGTGGATGGTGTGCGTGGAGAGCTGGCGGCGGCGCAGCTGGACCTCGCGGCGGCGCAGGCCGAGGCGGGCGCGGGGCGCGCGGGCGCGGCGGCCGCGGCGGCGGCCCTGCAGGCGCAGGTGGAGCGGCTGGAAGCTGAGATGGCGCGCCTCAAGCTCCTGCACTCCAACCTCTCCCGCACGTGAGCCGAGCCCGGCTGGGGCTGCGCTGGCCGTGTTGCGGGGGGGTCTGTGCACCCAGCCTGGCTGCTGCGTTCTCTGGGGGCCCATTGCCCCGGCCCGCCATGTCACTCCCGCCGCCCCGCCCTCGCTGCCCCGGCCCCTGACGTCTGCCTGCACCTGGTGCTCCCCCGCGCCGCCGCCCCGCAGCCAGCAGGAGCACTTGAGCGAGTTCCACCCCTACAAGCCCTTCCCCACCGACCAGCTGGAGGCGGCGGTGGCGGCGGTACCGCTGGCCGACTATCCGATGCGAGAGCGCAAGCTGGCCAAGTTTGGGCGCGAGTTTGTGTACAGCCGCAGGATGGGCGGCGAGGCGGAGGCGGAGGAGGAGGGCAGCTTTGCGGCGGAGATGGGCGTGGGCGGCGGCACATGGCGGCGGCGCCAGCAGGGCGGGCGGCGCCGCGAGGTGGCGGCGGCCGCCGCCTCGCCCGCCAGCAGCGACAGCTTGGGCAGCGGCGCCAGCCTGGATGGCAACGATGCGGAGAGCGAGGAGGAGGGGGAGGGTGCTGGCAGCGCGGTGCTGCTGGCCAAGCCGGTGCGCCTGCGGGGGCCGCAGCCGCGGCCGCTGCGCGAGCCGCGGGCGCCCTGGGCGCTGCAGCAGCCGCTGCAGCCCTGGCTGGAGGAGTGCATGACGTTTGCGGCTGCATACCCGCGGGTGGCAGGTGAGCCTCGGCATCCAGGCGTCAGACTCAGCACTGGCAGCACCTGGGGCCGAGCACAGTCCTTGCTGCGGGGATGTGCTTGGGGCGCATCCCCTGGCACAGCCCTGGCACAGCGCTGCCGGCTGCCGCCCGACCGGGCTGCAGCTATCTCGCCCCCTGACCCGCCTGCTGCCTGCTGCCCTCCTGCGGCTCCGCCCCTTCCCTGTCGCAGACCCGTTCCTCATCCGGCGCAGCAGCTGGGGCGTGCAGCGCGACGTGCTGCCGCTGCGCCCCTACATGCAGCCCCCACGCATGCAGCGCAACCCGGATGGCAGCTCCAGCAAGCCATCGGCGGTGCTCAATCCCTGCCAGCTGCTGCGCTGGGCTCCCCGCCGCAGCGGCACCACCGGCGGCGGCGTCACACGGCGGCAGGCCAAGCACCACGTGTTGCTGCAGGACCAGCGGGCGCCGGTGCACACGCTGGTGGCGCCAGCCGGCGGCAGGGCTCCTGCGCGGGCGCTGCTGCAGGGCTGCACCCGCCTCCTGCACAGGCTGCCGCGCGTGCTGCGCGTGTTGTAGCACGCCCCCAGGATGGCCTGGGTGGGAGAGCAGTGGCAGCGACAGCCTTGCCAATCGAAGTTTTGCCTTCAACGCATCCCATTCTTATTTGTTTCCAATTCAACTTTGTGCTATTGCACTGTGCTTCAGCGATTCTTCCCGCTGGCTGGTAACACCCAATCAAGCGGCCCAATCAAGCAGTCCACATCAGTCTGCTTTGCCGTGTGCTTCCGCCGCTGCCTGCTCAGCCGCACGCCGCTTCCGCCACGCCGCCGCCTCGCGGCCCGCTGCCTGCACCAGCACCAGCGACACCGGCAGCGCCAGCGGCAGCAGCACCGCCAGCGTGTGCTCTGGCGGGAACGCCTGGCTCGCGCCCGTCCCCGGGTCATGCAGCAACTGGTGGGCGGCAGCCCAGGCGCCTCTGGCAGCCGCCAGGCCTTGGGTGGCCGCACCCTGGCCCGCCTCCGCCGCCTGCTCCTCCTGCTGCTGGGCTGCCACCGCCTTCAGCAGCTGCACCACCTCGGCGGCTCGGCTGGCCATGGCAGCCGTCACTGGCTGGTCAGGAGCCGCCTCGGCGGCCCCGACAAACCGCTGAAGCGCCACCGCCGCCTCGGCTGCACACGCCGCGGTCAGGCTGCGGCGCAGCTGCTGCAGGGTGTCGGGGGAGGAGGTGGCGCCGCTGCCACCGCCGCTGCTCGCCGCCAGCGGCTGCAGCAGCCAGGACAGGATGGCACCGGCCAGCTGCTCCTCTTGGCTGGCATGGGGACCTGTGATGCTGCCGCAGCTGCCGTTGCCGCTGCTGTCACCGCTGCCGTTATGGTTTACTATGAGCAGCAGGCTGCTGTCTGGGAGTTGCATACTGGCACTGGCGTCGCCACCGCCAAGCTCCAGCAGGAGCGGCAGGTGTGCTGGCGGAGGCACATACAGGAGCACCGCCGCTGCCGCCAGCTCCAGGCTGCTGTCGGCGTGCGCCTGGACGGCAGACCATGCCAGCTGCTGCATGCGCTGGGCCCAGGATGCCGCCGCCGCCGCGGCTAGCACGTGCGCCTGCCGCTGCTCGTCCCAGCGCAGCTGCTGCGCGGGCAGGCGCGGCGGGTAGAGCAGCACATTGCTGCCCACGCGGGCCGGTGCCAGTTGGCTCAGCGCCGGCTGCAGATGCCGCGCCGCCAGAGTCTGCAGGTCCACTGCCAGCTGGCCATGCTGCTCAGGCTCTCCGGGCAGCAGCGTGCAGTGGACGCGAATGGTGGGGCCGCACAAGGTGCTGGCGGCGCTCGCCGCTGCCGCCGCAGCGGCCGGTGGCGGCGGCGCCAGAGCTGCCCCAAGCTGCCGCGCTGTTGCTGCTGGCAGCGCGTGCCGCTGGATCGCCAGCGCATGCCAGGCGTGGTACACGCCTGCAGGGGTGGAGCAGCAGCAAGGAGGGCTTTGGGCAACCTGAAATGGCAAAGTGATCACACGGCGCGTGCTGCAGAGCCAGGCGCGATGCACATCAGGCTGCCTGATGGCGTACCTCCGGCATATACGCCCAGGAACACGGCAAACGCCAGCAGCCGAGCTGGTAGCGAGCAGGCGGTCCCACCGGCCAGGCCCCGTGCGACAGCGTTCATGTCCCCGACACCGAATTGAGGCAGCAATGAAATGAACAGGAGCGAGGAAAGCTCGGGTGCACTCTGGCGCCAGGTCAGCCACCCGATCTGCTTCCAGAGCCACCCAGCCGAGACCTGCGCGGTGCTCCACTTGCCTTGGTTCCGAGTCGCCGCGCACCACGCTATGCAGGCCGTGGCAGCCTCCAATTCGGTGCTCAGCGTCAACGCAACCAGGTGCGGCGACTTGCGGCGGGAAGAGGCGGCGGGGTGCCACTGCCCGGAACACTTGCTTACGGCGCCCGACGTGGCTTGGTTGCAGGCCTTCCCACCGCCGGACGAGCCGGGTGCTGTGCCGCCCAGTTTTGAGCAAGCAGGCGTCTCGCGTCTACACCTCCTCCCCCGCTCTCACCGGCGTGGATGGGCCCTATGGCCTGAAGCGCCAGGCCCAAAACGCCACCAAGGGTGCGCAAAGAACCCTACCACTCTATCGCTGCCGCCGGCCCCCCTGCCCCGCGACGACAGAAAGCTCCGACCCGCAGCAGGCAGCTCCCCTGCCATTCCTGCATTGTTTTTCTTGGGCTGGGCCTGCCCCATTGTAGGTCCTGCCACAAGGTCACAAATGCTTTGCACCTGGGCTTGCAGGCCGCATCCTGTTCCATGGCGTGCACCACATCGCGCTGCTGTGCCAGAGCCTGGAGCGCTCCCTGGACTTCTACTGTGGCGTGCTGGGGCTGGAGGTGCGGGTGGCAGCGGCTGGCCAGGCTGGCGGCGGGTGGCAGGCGCCGCTGTGTCCTGTGCACCACCTCCCCGGGCACGCTTGAGCATGCTGCTGGTGTTTGTTGCAGGTCAACCCCGACCGCCCGCACGAGAAGCTGCCCTACCGCGGCGCCTGGCTGTGGATCGGGCCGGAGATGATTCACCTCATGGTGAGACAGCACATTTGGGGCCGGCCACTACTCAGCAACTCCAGTCTCGTGCAAGCTGCTGCCCCCGCCGCGCACCCAGATGGCTGCTCAACCGCCAGCCTGCTCCCTGCTGCCCGGCCCCCTGCAGGAGCTGCCCAATCCCGACCCGCAGGAGGGGCGCCCCACGCACGGCGGCCGCGACCGCCACACCTGCGTGGGTGAGCCGCCGCTGCCGCCCGCATGCCCGGCGTGGCCTGCATGCCTCTGCTGCAGCATCGCTTGCCCTGTTCTGCCAACCGGTGCTGCCTTGCCCAGCCCCCGGACCCCAACCCTGCGCCGTGGTGCCACTCACCGTCATCATGCGACTGGCTGCTCACCTGCTGCTCGCCCGCGCTGCGCCTCCCGTCGTGTCTCCTGCCGCAGGCGTGGAGGACATTGAGCCTCTGGAGGCGCGGCTGAAGGAGGCGGGGGTGGAGTACACTCGCTCCATGAGCGGCCGGCCCGCCATCTTCTTCCGCGACCCCGGTGAGCGCCGCGCTGCTGTGCTGTGTCCCTGGCGACTTGTCCCTGTTGCACGGCTAGGCGCGTGGGGCGCAAGGAGCGGCTCAGCACTGTTGCCCCGCCGACTCCTGCTCGCCATTGCGATGCATGCTCACACGGCCGTGTCGTGCCACCGCCCTGCCGCCTGCTGCTATGCAGATGCCAACTGCCTGGAGGTGGTGCAGATTGAGGCCTGGCGCTGAGGTGGCCCCAGCTGAGGTGGCAACAGCAGAGTTCATCTGCTGGGCCCCTGCCCCATCCCATCCCACCCCACCCGCTTATCCAGAGAAGACCATCGCCCAGCCTGTATTACTACATGCGTCCCCCTCGCCAGTATTGTCCCCGCCCCCGCAGATCTCCGCGCCTCTTCCCGCCTGTCAAGAGTGACCTTCGCACCCCTCCTCCCTGCCGGCAATCCTTTGCCCCCTGACCCTTCTGACGTTAGCACCCAGCCAGCACCTCGTACTAGGCAGTGCCCTTGTCTCCCTTTCCAGCCGTGCTTTGCTACCCAGCCGTTACCCGTCGATCTATTGCACCCCTGGCTTGATCGCCAGCAATAATGCCATCCCTCTCTTTCTCCTCCAGCCGCACAGGCTGCCTGCCCCTCCCCCTCCTCAAGCTGCTCCTCAGTACGGATTGATTGCAGTTGTTCTTTTCAGTTGGTGGTTTTTTCTTGCGTGCCTCCCTTTTTCTCCCCTGCTGTCGGCTGCGCTGCGCAGCACCAGTGCCCTCTACATACTGAACCACAGCCTCTTGTTCCCCGGCCCTCGGTTGGTTTTAATTGCTCCATTGATGTCTCTGTGCCCCCTGCATTTGCCCCAAGGCCCTCCCCCCCTGCGCCAGAGCCCCGCTCCCTTCTCCCCCCAAAACAGCGAGGCGCGCTGTGTACTACTCGATTTGTCCTGGTGCCACCGGTTTTCTTGGGGACGAGAAATGTTCCGCCCTTGCTCAACGACTGACCTGCCCGCACCGGGACGCCATTCATGCACGCCTTGCGCTGCCCCCTTTTCATGCAACTGATTGATGCCACTCCCTTTCATCATCACCACGTTAAAATTTTAAACCCAGAGCCAGTAGGGCTGAAAGCGACAGAAGAAGTTGGAAAGGCACTGGAGAAAGATGAAAGAAGAAATTGGCAGTTTGAGTCTTGAGGGATGCACCGCGTCAGGCGGGGTGGTCATGTGGTAGGAACGAGCAGAGGGCGGGGTTGGCGCTTTGCAAAGGGCAGGGAGTGGTGGAGATGTAGGTGGCGTGTAGGGGGTACAGGGATCATGAACACTAATGGGCCCCCGCGAGCAGGGGGGCGGTACAGCGATGCCGAGCCGCGAGGGCCGGCAGCTCAGGGGTCGGCGGGCGGCAGCAGGTCGGCGGCGCCGGGCAGGGAGCAGAGGCGCAGGAACTCGGCGGTGGAGAGGGCCCTGGGCTGGGAGGCTGAGGAGGCACCCGCCAGCCCCAGCGCCAGCAGCCCATTGTTGAACACATCCAGCGAGGCCTGCCGGTTGCCAGAGGCCCCCGGCAGCGGCGGCGGCAGCCCCAGCCCCAGCCCCTGCGGCAGCGGCGGCGGCGGCCGGCCGCCGCCCAGCGCCAGGTTTGGCGGCGGCAGCGTCGGCGGCAGCGAGGGCGGCGGTGGCAGCGCCTGCCCCGCGGCAGCGCCAAAGGGCGAGGCCGCCGCGGCCGCTGCCGCAGCTGCTGCCGCCAGTGTTGAGCCCAGCGACCCCTCGCCAGCCTCGGCGGCCAGGCGGGCTGCCGCCGCGGCCACCGCCTGCACGGCTGCATCGTTGCTTGACGCCGCCGCGCCGTCTGCGGGCTGCTGCTGCCAGGCCGCCTCGTGCAACGACTGGCTCAGCATGCGCAGCAGGCCGCTGTCGCACGTCATCAGGCTGGCGGCGGCGTTGGCCGCAGACGCCGCCTCTGCCTGCCTGGCCGCCTGCTGGCTGGCGGCGTGGTCGGCCGCCGCACGCTCCGCCCCCGCCGCCTCAATGCCCTGCAGCAGCGCGACCGCCGCATCCGAGGCCTCCTGCTTGGACAGCCCCGGCACCTGGCCGCCCAGTGTGCTGCTCAGCAGGCGCAGCAGGGTGCTGTCGCACGTGGCCAGGTTGCCTGAAGATTGCTGCTGCTGCTGCTGCTGCTGCTGCTGCTGCTGCTGCGGATGCAGCTGCGCATGGAACGCCTGCTGCTGCTGCTGCGGCGGCGGCGGCGGCGGCGGCAGCGTGAGGCCTGCGGGCCCCGGCGGCGACGGCTCTGCCGCGCCCGGGAAGGCAGCCTGCGACATCACCGCAAACGGCGAGGACAGCGCCGCGGCGTCGGGCGGCGGCGGCGGCAGGCCCAGGCGCTGCCGGTTGCGCAGCTCCTGCGGAAGGACGGGCGCAAGGGAAGCGAGAGGGCGGGGGTGTGTTGGCGAGAGGAAGGTTAGAGGTGGGCAGGACGGCAGCGCCAGGCGCAGCTGGCGCAAGTCATATCCAAGGCTTCGGCTGGTCTGCGGGGTGCGCAGGTCTGCCACCCCACCCCACCACCTGCCCCCAGCCCCTGCCGCCTGCTCGCCTCCAGCGCACCGCCCCACGCACCTGCACCTCCGCCGCCAGCTTCTGCACCCACATCGACTGCTCCAGCAGCGCATGCTCCAGCTGCACCTGCCGGTTGAGCGTGGCCACAGCGCCATCCACCGAAATGCTGCCGCCGGCGCCGGCGCCGCCGTTGGGCGGGAAGAAGGGCGGCAGGTGTGTGGAGGCCGGCTCGGCGCTGCTCTGGTACAGGGGCATGCCGGGGCCCGCCGGCATGGGCAGCAGCGGGGGCGGCACGGAGGTAGGCGGCGGCAGCCCTGCGGCGGCGGCGGCCGCCGCCACAAACGTCGCGCGGCGCTGCGTCAGCCCTGCCAGGGTGGCGGGGTCGACGTTGACGCCCTCCGCGGTCAGCATGCGCGACAGCTCCGCAAACGGCAGCGCCTCAACCTCCAGCCCGCCCCCCGGCCCGCCGCCGGGGCTGGCCGTGGTGGTGCCCGCCGACAGGCCCTCGCCGTCGGTCTCGCCTCGGTCGCTGTCAAAGCCGCTGCGGCGGGCGCGGCGGGGCCGCCTGGCCAGGCGCAGCTCTTCCTCGCCCTCAGCCTCCGCCGCCAGCTCCTCCTCCTCCCACTGCGCCAGCCCGTAGCCCCCATACTCCTCATCATCGCCGCTGCTGGAGAAGCTGTCGTCATAGGCGCGCCGCTTGCGAGCGCGCCGCTTGGGCCGCTTGCTGGCATCGCCACCACCTGCCGCTGCTGCTGCTGCGGCTGCGGCGGCTGCGCCGCCCAGCCCCAGCCCGCCGCTCATCTGCCGGCTGCCGCGGATGGGCACCAGCCCGCGCGGCCGGGGGGGCACCATGCCGCTGTCAGCCTGCCGCTTCTGCCGCTCAAGCAGCTTGGCGGCGGCGCGGGCCTGCCAGGAGGGAGGCGCGCGAGGCAAGGGCTCAACGGGTGCGAGTTGGGCAGACGAGAGAGGAAGGCTCTCTTGCTAGACCGCTGGCTGGATGCAGGTGCACGCAGTGGCTGGCCACCACCGCAAGCCATCAAGAGGGCCTGAGGAGGTCTAGGGAGGCCCACCTGCGCCTCGGTGGCATCCTTGCTGCCGTTCTCCGCCACCACGCGGATGCGGTGCTTCTGCAAGTGGCTCTTCACTTGCGCGGTGGTCAGCAACGCGATGCCCATCCTGTCTCGAATGTTGGCGGGCTTGGCTGCACGCAACATATGCGGAGGACAAACGGTTGGCAAAACATGCACCTGTCTGGCGGCGCTGGCTGGCGAGTCTGCATGCTGCTGCGCTGGCTGCACCACACCAAGGCTTCTCGCCACCGTGGCCGGCGAAAATGCCTGCTGTCGCTAGTGGCAGCGGTACGACGGCCGTGGCAACCAGCGGCCGCCGCCCCAGGCCCGCACCCACCAGCGTGCGCGCCTCCCAGCTCGTCCACAGCCTCCTCAAAGAGCTCATGGAGCCCACAGTCCCAGCGCACATACTGTTTATTGGGCCCAAAGAACGAGCGCTCTGTGGGGGACGCAGTGAGGCGGGGGAGGCAGGCTTAGCTTGCTGCAGCTCGGCCACGATGCCCTGGTGGGCTGGCAGAGCGCAGGCGGTCGGTCGCTGCTCAGAGAGGTGGGGGTGCGGAGGGGCAGCTCCTGGCCCACCTATGACCTCCTGCTTCTTCTCATCCAGCGACGCGCCTTGCGGTTGCACGGGTTGCACCGCAAGGGGTGGGGCCTCCTCCCCCATCCAGCCGGCAGGCACGCGCCTAGGCTTCCTTGCAGGCGGGCTGTGTGCGTGTGTGGGACTGCTTGCCTCCTGTGCTTTTGATGCCTCGGGAGGATGGACGCGAGGAGTAGATACTCAAGGGGACCCCGCTGGCATGGGGGTGCTCGTGTCATCAACCTGACCGCTCAGATCCCCAAAGAGTCTCAACTTTGCATGGGAATTGGCGTTCAGGAGGGCAAGGCCGTGGGCCACGGCGGCGGGCGCTGCTTCCGTTGGGGTGTGGCCGCGAGCGGTGGCCGGCGGCGGTGAGGGAGCGGGGAGCAGTCAGTCTTGGTGCCTGCCTGTCGACAACTCCAATGCTGCAGAGAAACCATCGATATCTGGCAGGCAGAATATTGCAACCGGCCCACAGCCAGCCAAAATGACCGCGAAAGGTATCATCTAGGCGGTATTATTGCTGCGGCAGTATTCTGTTGAGTGGACGGGGAGAGGACAAAGGCATGGAACAGCCACTCCTCTTGAGGAATCGAGGCACCATTTGCATTGCCCCACAGGCAGGCCATGGGTTGCAGGCATGTTGCGCAGCCACTGGTGGGTCCACCATGTGGCATGGATGCGCCCCGTCAGCGGCGACCGCCACCAAGCGCTTTGAGGATGCGCAATCGTTGACATCCACGCTTCCTCACCCTCCAGGAGCTTGAACTGGTGCTCTATCCTTGCTGCGAGCCTGCCAGGAGCGAAATCGCCGTCGACTTCGAGGGCACGCAGACGCTTCGTAAGCGGGAAGGTCGGTGCCGAGCTGTACAAGCTGCCTGAGGCAGTGCTGGTAGTTCCATGGGCCGATGCAGCCCTCCACCCTCCTGCCGACTGGCGCCCTGCCACCCCGCCCACCGCCGACCGCCGCCGCCTAAACTATGTTTGCTGCAGGCTGCCCCACCATGTCTGCCGTCCTCCCGCGCAGCAAGTCGAACAAGCAGCCCAAGCTGGCTAGGAAGAGCGAGGAGAGTTGCAAGAAGAAGACCCGGCAGATTTCGTCCGGGGGCTTCCAGCACTCGCTCAGCAGCAAGTCGCCGCAGGAGCTGAGCCAGACGGGGAGCCACGTGAGTGGCGTGATTGCTGCTGGTGTAGGAGCCTGGTGCCATGAGCCTGGCCGCCCTGCAAGCACCAACTCCCTGGCTCTCTCCTGCCTGCAGCCCTGGTCAGGATTTGCCGAGGCAGTGCTGCGGCCGCTGCCCGCGGACTGGCGCTATAACATTGAGCAGGCGTTTTCCAACATTGGCGACGCCTTGGGCAAGCTGCTGGGCGGCGGGCAGCAGGGCCAGCGGGTGAGCCTCGCTAGTGGGCTGTCCTTGCTGTGAGCTGTGCAACACTGCATTGCCATGTCCAGGTGCTGCTGGCGGTCGTGCCTGTTCCCTGGGTTCAGCAGCTGGTCCACCCACTCCATGCCGCTGCTCCTCACATGGCTGTCTGCCGTCGCTGCTGCAGGTTGGACGCCGAGGGTTTGGAGGATTCTAGGCAGCTGGTCCAGCTCCTTTCCTGGCCGTTTTGCACACCATATTTGGCGCCGCTTTCTACTGCTCCTCTTCCTTGTTTCCCCTTGCTCGCGCTTTCCCCTCCTTCCCCTGACAGACTGCTGACCACCACCAGCTGCAGCCAATTTTCATGTGTGACATAGAAACGTGCCCATGGGTGCGCTAGACATGCGGCCCGGTAGGCGGCGGGCGCACGCGTGGCGTCCACAGGGAGACAATGTTGGACAGAGCCTCCATCGAGATACATCAGCTGCGACTCTCTCTAGCTGCACGATATTCGTGACGGTGAACAGGCCAGCGCTGTCTTTGAGCCGCCCCTGGTCCGATTGGCGGCGCCGCGCTTCTCCGGCGACAGCAACACCCTCACGACAGCACCCTCACGACGGGCGACATGCAGGCCATCGGCGCTCACAGCGGTGCAGCCGTGAGGCCCTGCATTATCCCTGCTGCCGCCCAAGCAACCCACCGCGCATGTAGCTGGACGGAGAGAAGCAGCAGGTGAGGCAGGGTGTCGTGGGCCTGTCCCGCTGCCCCATGCATGTTGGTGCTGGTCGCAATGGGCTGGGCTGCAATGCCGCCGCCACCGCAACTCCCGTCAGGCAGGCCTGTCTTGTGCTGCTGGGGACAGTGCCGCTGCAAGCTGCCTACCGATCGTGCTCCGCTGACACTGCCTGGATCTGCAGGGCGTCGCGGCAGCCCACGTGGCAGCGGCGACGCCGCAGCACGCTGTCGGCGGCGGCGGCTCAAGAAGAGCAGCAATATGATGCGTGGGGGGAGCCTATCGGCCCTGGGGAGATTGGCATGTTGAGCAAGGATCTCTATACCACCGGCATGCCCGACGGCATCGAGGGCAAAGCAGGTGGGCGCGTCCGGCTATGGGTCACCGCCACCGACGGTTGCCCACGCCTCGTCATTCCGCCTGTCGCATGCATCTCGTCGCCGGCCCAGCTTGCCTGCCCACTTGGCGCGCTTGCCCTCCGGCCCTATCCCTTCACCCTCACAATACCCCCCCGGATTCCACCCCACCCCCTCCCATACACACACCCCAGGCTACACGCCGTACGAGTTCATCGACTTCACCGACATCCAGCTCAAGCATGAGCTGGTGGCGCGCGTGGAGCGACCCATCAGGTGGGGCCGCATGAGGGGCTCGGGCACGGTGGCAGCAGCGCAGGGGCGCACAGAGGGATTGCCCTCCGCGGGCTGGGCGCGACCACCCGCTCAGCTCCTCGCACCCTGTGCCTCCCCCGCCGCCCTGCAGTGAGGTGTATGCGCTGTGGGAGAACCGGCTCAACTGGCCCGAGTGGTTTGGCATGATTGAGGAGGTGGGGTTCAAGGAGGGGGACGACGATGTGTGCGCGCTCAACCTCTGGTACCGCTGGGGTGAGTTTGCGTCTGCCGCATTGCCGCGCATGCTGCACACAGAACAGCCACCCTGCTGGGCGGGCTGGTTAGCAGCTGTGTTGGGCCCAGGCAGCAAGCACGCCCCCTGCAGTTCTGTTGGGCCCCACTGATCCTGAACCCCCCCCCTGCCTCTCCCCTGCCTCACCGCAGCCATGACCCCCTGGCTGGAGCTGTACGTGGCCCTGAGGCGCACCCAGGCTGAGCGAGACAAGTACTTTGTGGAGGAGCCCGAGGACGGGGCGCCGCTGGTGGCGGCGGTGCTGTTCCAAGAAGAGGAGGGCAGCGCCGCCACGCTCGTCACGCTGCGCGTCTCCTACCTGCTGCCCCGTGAGTGGCATGTGCATGCGCGGGCGGGCGGGCAGCAGGGCGGGCGGGCAAGCTAGGGGCGGAGGCTAGCTTTGCAGATTAGAAAAGGCCTGGACCGGCACCCTGCACCAGCCCTCGCAGGAGCAGGGGCTCTGTCCGGGGCTTCCCTGCTGGGCCGCTTCCCCATCCTGCCTTGGCCCGCCCCACCGAACCGGCCCTCCCTTGGGGCCTTCCCCGCCCCCGCCCCGCCCTGCAGGCGGGTGGTTTGAGTTTGCCGGGCAGTTGGTGGTGTATGGGGATGTCGACCGCAAGCTGACGCGGTGCAGGGTTCGCATGAAGGAGTGGGTTGAGTCGGTGGAGGATGTGCAGGAGAAGTGGGCGGCGGCTGCAGCCAACATGGCAGACATACGAGCAGGTGAGGGGGACTGTGGGGGTGGGCTGTGGGGATGCAGGCTGCGGATGGACGAGGGCAGGCGCACGCAGGATCCTGCCTTTGGAGGTATGGTTTCCCTGCCTGCCTGCATCCTCCCGAGCTGGGCCTCAGCCTGCGCTGCATCTGGTGCTCGCAGGTCTGCCGGAGCATCGGAAGCTGCAGCAGGAGGCGGATGCACGGTTTGAGGAGCAGAAGCGGAGGGAGGAGGAGCAGGAGGAGAAGGAGCAGCAGCAGGCAGAAGAGGCCGCGGCGGCGCAGGCGACCGCCGACTTGGAGGCAATGGCCGCAGCCGACTTGGAGGCAGCCGCAGCAGCAGAGGCAGAAGCGGCAGCGCTCCCGCCGCCGCCGCCGAAGGCAAAGCGGGGCAGGAAGGCCACTGGTCCCACTGTGACCAACCCAATGGCCAAGCGGCGCAGCCGCAAGGATGCAGATATGGAGCCATAAGCACAACACTTGCATGCGTGGTTTTGCTGTGTCGTGCTGTAAACCCTCCCAAGCAAAATGGTCACGTGTCACATTACAGGTTGACAACCAGGAAGAAAAAACAGGTTGCGGTTCAAATGAAAAACAGGCTAAATCCAAAAGATAAAAATAGGTTAAATAAAACAATCCCCTTACAATACACTTGGAGCCTTGCACTTCACGGCCCCAGCAACCCCAGCAGAAGCATGCTCGCCAGCAGCACGACCAGGGGCACCACCAGGCTGCCATAGGCAGAAGCCCGTGGGCTGCCATTGGTGGACAGCAGCGTGAAATTCATGCCGCAGGCCTCTATCTGAGCCTCCAGGCGCTCGCTGATCGTCTCGTTTCCCTGGCTGCCAATTTGCGTCACCAGTCTGTCGAGCTGCATGCAGCAAGCGTGGCGGGTGGTGGCGGAAGACACGTCGGCATTGGAATTCAATCGGCAGCCTGCCCAGGGCAGCAATCAAGCCGGCCACCCCCACTCACGCAGGCTTGCGGCAGCTTCTGCAGTTGCGCCTGGCAGTCTTCCGGGCACAAGTTGTCCTCGGCCGCGTTCTCGCAGGGCCCCATGTCGAACGTCGCCCAGTTGACTGCTGTACACTCCGTCCACCTGCAGTGGAGGGTACGCGGAAGGCAGGGCCGACCAGCGGGTGGCGGCGGGTGGTGGCGGTGTGTGCAGCTGCTGCTTGCTGCACAATTGGTGGGTGGCTAGGGGTGGATCCAGTGCTCAGAGTCTCACTGCAGCTCGGCCAAACTCACTCGGCGGCATCCTTAACGGTGGCAACAACCGTGCTGAATGCATCTCGCAAAGCTCCACTGACCGATTCCCATACATCACCGAGGCTCTCCGTGATGCTGTTGCCGCTGGCTGCGGGGACGCCAGCTACAAGGGCCAGCAGCAGCAGACAGATAGCTGTGCGGTTCATGGCGTGAATGAATGTCAAGCGAAAGGTCAGACTGAGCGCCAGTTGGTGGGATCTAGCGCTTCTCTCGTCTAGCCGCGTGTACCGCTTGCCGGCGGCGGCAGGACGGCGCACTGCAAATCGCGAAAAGGCACCATCTCACAACCAATCCACCTCCCAAAGGCAAATTAGGCAAGGGTAATGGTCGCTTTTTACACACTCAGTTCCCGCTGGCAGGAAAGTGGCAGAGTTCAAATGGAAGGGTCGTGGGGTCACGCTGGGGTACATAAACGGCAAGTTTTAGGGCAGGGGGACGGGGGCAAAGGCAGGGGAGGGCGCAGGGGCAGAGTCAGACTCCATAAAGTTGAACGTGATGTTGCATGCCGCAATCTGGCTCTCCACGCGGTCGATGGTCGTTTCGTTGCCGGAGTTGTAGATGCCGGTCACCAGGCGATCGAGCTGCAAGGGCAGCGCAGGTTAGGGTTTTGTGTAAATCGCTGGGCGGGGTGATGGGAAGCAACATGAAACGCGCAGCCGGCTTGCCACTCACACAGGCCTGTGGCAGCTGCAGGAGGTTGGCCTTGCAGTCTTCAGTGCACAAGTCGCTTGGGGGAGCCTCCCAGCATGGGTCCATGTCAAAGACTGTAAAGTCCACCGCCGTGCACTCGACCCACCTGCGCAAGGGAGGTTGGGCCAAGGAGCAATTAACAGAAATAATGCAGGCTCTTCAACACCGAAGACAAAAGAGAGCAATGAAGTGGAAGGGCCCAGTCGGGTGTTGTGCGCGGCGGAAGTGAGCGGGGGTGCGACCGTAGCGGCGGCATTGGCAGCGGGCGAGCGCGGGCTGCACAATGAGGGCTCCACACTTACTCATAGGCATCCTTCACGCCTTCCCAAGCCGAATTCGCAGCATCCACCACTGTATCAACCACATTGCCGCCAAGGTTCGCTGCACCGTCGACCACGTTTCCAGCAGTGTCGGAGACGGTGTCCACAGCGCCGCTCACCGCGCCGGTGACAGTGTCCGCAACGTCCCCGAGCGCGTCGCCAATTGAGAAACCTTGCACTCTGCTGGCCAGCACCAGCACCACCAACAGGGGCAAGACGGCGCGCATGTTGGCGTAGTGCACCACGGTGCAAGCGGGCTCTAGCAGTGCGATGATCTCAGGAAGAGGATGGGAAGAAGAGGGCGACAGGGGTCTACCGCCAACGCGCTTTGAGGAAGCTGCTTTCTACAGGGGCAACAGAGCGCCACGCTGGCTACAAAAGGGGGCACAACCCCTCCTCAGCAGTCACCTCAGCGGATGTGGCGGGCCCTCAAACTGGCCTCCCCCCGCACATCCAGCTGGCCCAGATACAGTCGACGATGGGCACGCTACATGCCTTGAATGCTCCTATGCATGCGCCTGGCTGCACCCGGCCGGAGTGCCGCTGCCGCATACCATCCAGCACCGAATGCACCGCACCCTTGACCCACTGCCCCAATGACCTCTCAACTTTCCATTGACTCTGTAAAAAAATAGAACGATACATGTATAGCATATTGGGTGCAACATGGAGTGATTGGAATGCAGAAAAGCACGACGGGCAACAATTGAGGCCAGCGGACATGGTTCCAATGGCGACGCAAGTATAAAAAAACTTGAGAATGCCAGCCCTGAGCTACGCAACATGCTGTCTGAGACTCACTTGTCATCAGCTGCATGCCAACGAAGAGCTGGCACCTGCGCCTAGCAGCGCCGGCACCAGAAGACGGCACAAACAACCGGCACAGTTGACGATATCACCGGTGGCAGGCAGAGGGTGCCCGTAGCAGGAATAGTGTCACACATGTCACATTTCAATCGTCATGGCGAGCCAGCAGTGGGGCGGCCAAATCGGCATTGTCTGCAGGGCAAACATTGGCAAGTGGGTAAGGCAGGGGCGCTGAGAGCGGCAAACTTCGCAAATGCAGAATGCTCCACCTGCGGTCCGTCGTAAGCTTCTTCGACGGCTGAGGGCTGAAGGCGTTGGTGGCCCAGAGGTGTCTGCAGGTGCATGCACTGGCGGCGGTGGCAACCGCGCCTGGGGCAGCGCCGCCGCCGCTGCCGCCGCCGAACGCTCCTGACGCTCTGCCTCCGCTGCAGAGCACATGGACGGATGGTGACTGCAGGGCACATGAGTGTGTTGGGCAAGCACGTCAGCGCCTGCAGCGGCGCACCCAAAGCGTCACGCGCGTCTTTGAAGTACTTGTTCCGCAGCGTCATACTTCGCCCCCGCCTTGTCCATCCGCTGCTGCAGCCTCTTGGGCACCTCCCCGACGGGGTACCGATCAGCCCGCTCCTGCAGTCTTTGCAAAGTATCAAATGCTGCGCCAGAGGCGCCAAGTGCGTTTCCGTGGCGTACCCGCGCTGTTTCCCAGGGCGCTCTGACCGCACCCCATTAGACCCGCTTGCGGCACCTAGCGCATCCTCTTCCATTTTTGAGCACGCAGCTGGCACCAGCTCGGCCAGCATGCGCAGTCGGCTCTGAGAGATAGAGAGCTTTTCTAATTGGATCGCATCCGAGGCCTGGGCTGACGCCGGCTGGGGTGATGAGGGGGGTGGGGTGACCACTGACGGGGGGTGCCACATGTGCCGCACATGCTCCAGAACTGGGCTGCAGGCGTGCACCTTGATCCAACTTGATCGACTCCACACTGTCAGAGTTGAGGTGGATTTGGCATTTGATGCAAGTGTCAGCCAGCGGCAATGCCCGCGGCCGCCAACGACATCTGGGCGATAGTCCCAGATGCCCCCCACCCCAAACTGCAGTTATAGTACGTGCGCCAGCCAATGCACAAGAGTGAAGAACGAAGACGTTACTGTCTAGCTGCGCTGCTTGAGGTGGGCGTGTGTTCGTGGACCTCACCAACATGGCAATGGTGCCATGTTGACCGCGGCGGCGCCCCGAGGTGGCGGCTCCAGCGCCTGCATTGCCTCCATCGTGTTGACATCATGTACACTAGTCAACATTCACCCCAGCGCCCAGGCGGGTGAATGGGGATGAGCAAGGCGGGTCCCCACTCAGAACTGTGAAGTGGTCCCCTCTTCGCACGTGAGTTGTTGGGCTTTCGGTGGGCTGGTCCGACAGCCGCAAATCTTTGCAGTACGCATCTCTGTCCGCCCCGCCGCCTGCCATCCAAAAGCCACGTGGCCCGGCTTGACCGGCACCCACAGTCGCAATTCGATGCCCTGTTCGCTCCCGACATTGACAATCGCCAAATCCATCGCCGCACTTCCAATTGTGCACCTGCCTGGACGCCATCACCTCGACATGCCTCCGGCACACCCCCATGGGGGGGTCACGATACTGTGCTGCCTGCTGCTCGTGTCAGCCGCCCTGGGGATGCACGAAAGCGGCACCGCAAACAGCTACGATGGTAATTCAGAGGGCGCTGGCTGGGGCCTGGGGGCTTGTGTGTGCGGCGCCAGTCGGTTGCGGCGCCAGTCGGTTGCCAGTCGGTGGGCACGCAGGCCTGCTCCTACCTCAACAATCAACTCGCAGTCCATCCCTGCATTCCAACCTCAGAGTTCACTCTCCAGCTCTGCTGCTAGGCACCTTTGCATCACTGCACTGCTGCGGCAGGCTGTCAGACCCTGCCACCCATCGGTGTGCCCGCCGCTGCTACGCCCGCCCGCCCCTCCAACCAGCGTGCGCCAATTGTCTGTGGTTGCAGGGCTCTTTGACGAAACGACCAACGCCTGTGGCATTGACGAGCTCCCAGAGTACTTTGATCGCTTCTACGCAGCTGTCGACCTGAAATTGGTGGGCCGGCACACCGTGCAGTGTTGACCGGCGCCGCCAGCCAGCGTCAGCTGTTGATGTTTCACTCATCAGCAGGCCCTAGTCCTGGCGTCTGCGGCTCCCACCAGCAACTGAGAACCGGCATTGATCCTGCTCCTCCCCTGCTGTGCCTGTGTGCCGCCACTCCTTCCCTCAGGCCCCCGACGCCTGCGGGCGGTGCATGTGGGTCAAGGGCCCCAGCGAGCGCCCCATCATCGTCAAGGTGGTGGACGGATGCGTGGCGTGCGGGGCTGGCGCGGTAGACTTGTCCAGCGAGGTGGGTGTGGGTTGCACTGCACTGCTGTGCCTGCTGTGCCTAGAAGGCTTGGTCGCGGGCCGCGACTCGCGGCTGGTTCTTGGATTCCCTGGCTGCCCTCACCCTCCACCACCGTGCCCCGAGGCACCTTACTTGCCATACCTCTACTCTCTATGCTGCCATACCTCTACTCTCCTGCTCCACAGGCCTTCAAGGCGGTCGCTGGCGAGGGCACCGCTGCTGGCTCGCAGTCCGTGGGCTGGGTCTGGGCCGACTGTTCCTCCTCAGCCTCCTTCTTCGCCACCTGGCCCGGCTCCCGCAGCGGCGGCGCTGCTGCCGCCACCCCCGCCACCCGCAGCCGCCGCACCTTGCTGGACTCTCCAGAGGAGACCATTCGCGAGGGCCATGGCCAGGCAGGGGAGTTCACAGACTGGACCACCGACTGCCTGGGCGGGCGCCGCCGCTGTCCCAGCCTCTTCCTGGCCTCCTGGGGCTTCCAGTGCAGCAACGGCGACGGCACCAGCTGCTGCATGAAGGCCAACGGCAAGTTCTGCACCCCGCTGCACCACTGGGACCGCGAGCCTGCCCCTGCCAGCTGGGTGGGCCGGGACCTGGCCCAGGAGAGCAGTGCCGAGCCCCAGCAGGAGGAGCAGGACGAGGAGGACGGCGAGGTGCAGGCCAACGGCTCCGGCTCCGGCTGGGCCTCTGGCTCTGCCAAGGGCTGGAACACCGCCACCGCCACCCACTAGTGAGGCCCCTCTCAACTTCTCAGACGCTGCATGGGCTCAGTATTTCAAAGGCTGGCTAGGCAGCCGGGTGCGGTGCCTCATGACCTTCCTGCCCGCCTGCTACCATTGCCCTTGCCGCCTGCGTGCAGCACCTCGTACCCAGAGTGCTGCCACAGCAAGAGCGCCGACCAGACAGAGTGCGAGGACTACAACGGCTGCAAGTGGGAGGGCCAGTTTGCGGGGGTGGGTTACAAGCCCAAGAGCTGGGTGAAGGAGCACAACATTGTGGCATTCTACCGGGCGCCAGAGTCTCGCAACCGCAAGGTGTGCCTGCTGGCCTCCCCGCCGCGCCCCGCCTGCATGCTGGCCTGCAGCTCTCCAGGCCACCCTTGGCTTCTCATTGCCGCGACGCAGCCCGTGGCGCCGTGCACCATGCTTATTGCAAACGTCCCTGCTGCTCATCCCGCCCCGCCCTCCCTGCCGCCGCAGGAGTGGGACAGCAAGTGGAAGAACAAGGCACTGCGGATCCGCAACCCGCAGTCCGGCAAGGTGATGGAAGCGCTGGTGGTGGACACCTGCTCCGACTCAGACTGCAACGGCTGCTGCTCCAAGAACGCCAAGCGCCACGGCGGCACACTCATCGACCTGGAGCACTACACGGCGCAGCGCTTCTGGGGCGGCAGCGTGCCCGACCTCACTGCCATCCAGTGGCAGGAGGTCTGAGCGAGCCAGGGCAGTGCAGGGCGGCTCCTGCTGGCTTCCAACCGCCCCTGTCATGTGCCATCACCATCCCCATGTTGATCCAGCATTCTAGCATTCTAGCATCTAGCATTGTTTTACTAAAATACTTACGTTGATTGAAGCGTGCAATGATTTTCAGACAAATTAGCATGAATGTAAGCACATGCGAAACAAGAAGCACAGGCGCGGTGGGGCAAGAGCACCACAGATTGCGGGAGATGCCTAGCAGGCATCGCATCAGGTGCCTGCCCATCACCGAAATTTGGTGGGCGACTGCAGCGGGCTGCGGCCTGCCGGGCTGGACACCTGCAGCTGGCGTTTGCCGGGGGAGGTGGCTGCACGGCGAGCCGAGCCCGGCAGGGCCCGCTGGTTGGTGGCATCGCCCAGCGGCGATGCGAGGGCAGCCCCCGCGCCAGTGCCAAATGATAGCCTGCAGCAGCGCAGCGAAAGTGCTTCATTCCGTGCATTTTCCAAAGTGCAGCTTTGGGTCCAGGCGTACGTGCCACCCACACGCCCAGCCAGCCACTATGGCGCACCACAGCAGGTCCCCAGCAGCCCGCACACCTGCCACTGCCAAAGCCCGTGAAGGACGAGTAGCCCGCGGGGCTGGTGCGTCCGCCCAGGGTGGGCGGCAGTGGGCTGGTTGACTGAGCCCAGTCAATCAGCTTTCCAATCTCCCCCACCATGCGCCGGTACTTGGCGGTGCACACCGTCTCCCCCGCCAGCTTCCCCTCCAGCTCCTGCAGCTGCGCCGAGCGCGAGGCCAGCGCCTGCACAGCACGGCAGCAGCCTGGCTCGCCCCCAAGCAGGCGCTGCTAGCATGCGGCGCCCCGCCTGCTGCAGGCCCCGCCCTGCTGCCCGCCCCAGCCTCCTCCTGCGTGTCAGCCCCGCGAAACGCCCCACCTCGCCCAGCTCTGCAATCTCGCCCCGCAGCCGCTCCTCCTTGGCCGCCGCCAGCTCCCCAATGTCGGCCACCTCGCGCTGCCGCTTGCGCAAGTCGCTCAGCAGCTGCAGGCAGGGCGGGGTAGAGGGAGTGACAGGATATGGGTGGCACAGCGCCTCAGGATGGGGAAGGAAGCAGGAAGGGCCGGCACAAGCGAGGAATGGGCGCAGCACGTCCAGTGCATGATGGCGGGAACACTGCCGCCCTCGCCCCTCCCTGCCCACCAGCTCCACCTCCCGCCGCAGCGCCTTCTTGTTGCGCTCGCTCTCCCCCAGCGCCTGCGCCACAGCAGCAGGCAAGCACCAGCTGTTTCAGGCCCGAGCCGCCATTTGGGCAGGAGATAGCGCCTTGCAGAAGCGACCTGGCCTGCACTAGCCGCCAGCAGCAGCACCAAGCAGCCTCGTGCGCACCACCGCCATCTGCGCCAGCTCAGCCCCCATGGTCTGCCGCGTGGACTCCAGCTCAGCGCTGACGCGTGCAACGTCAGCAGCCAGCCGCTCCTTGTCGTGCTGCAGGGAGCGCGCCTCGTCCTCCGCCACACGCTGTGCCGCGGAGGCCGTTTCACAGCGCTGCAACATGGAGGCAAGGCGACAGGGCTGCTGCTGAGCAAGGCAAGGCAAGCCGGAAACCACAGGCGGCTACGTGTCCAATGCAGCGCAGCGCATCCAGCGACTCGCCCCTGTCCCATGCAACACACCTCTTGCGCTGTCGCTGCATCCTGCTGCGACTGCCGCAGCGCCTCCTTTCCGAGCCGCAGGCTGCTTTGCAGGCTGTCCACCCGCTCCATCAGCGCCGCATTGTGATCAATCAGCTGCTCCCGGTCCTTCTGAAGCAGCTGGCATGTGGCCTTCGTGTCCTCCACCTCCTGCACACACCGCGTATACCCGGCACGGCGCAGCAGTATTAGCACACGGCTGCCTAGCTCTATTAGCAGGACTGTGGAGGCCCCCCCATTTGCCGGCCGGCGCCTGCCCGGCTGGCAGGCATTGTGGGCGGTGACCTGCCCCCTCGGCAGCCCCACCAGCACACCTTCTTGACCAGTGCCAGCTCAGCATTTCGCTGCTGCAGGGAGGCGTGGTTCTCATTCAGCGCCACCTCCAGCTGCTGCTGCCGCTCCTCCGCCGCCACCGCCCGCTCGTCTGCCGCTGCCGCCTGGCCCTGCATCGCCGCCAGCTGCTGCCGCAGCTCCGCCGCCAGCACATCCTCGCGCTTGGCCAGCTCCCGCTGCAGCCGAGCGTTTTCCAATTGGAGGGCCTTCAGGTCGCCCACCATGTCCTGGTTAACCACAGCCTGCACGCATGGCGGCGGCGGTGGTGTGCTGGGTGTGGGTTGGGGAGGGAAGGGGCTTGGGGAGCGCTCCTTGCAACAGCTCAAGCTAAGCAAGCAAATAGTGCAGGAGGTGGCTGGGCAGGCCCCTCCACCCGGCTTGCCTTGTTCCTGATCTTTTTGGCTCCCGCCGCAAACACCAGCGTGCTGTGCGTCTCCTGAGCGCTCTCCTCGCTGGGCGACACGCACGCGACGATGGAGGTGAGAGAGTTGCCGCCTGTGATGGTTGGTGTTTGGGGGTGCGGGTTCAGCAGCAGCATATCAGCACTAGTGCAAGGGATCTGGCAGGGCAGGCAGGCCGAGGTAAAGCTGCTGCCATGGGGAGGCCCGCAGCCCCGCCCCGCCATCGACAACCCAACTGCTGACTCACCCAGGCTCTCTTTGAGCAGGAAAGTAAGCCTGCTGTCGCGGTAGGGCACGTGCTGCTGGCGGTCCATCAGCGCCGTGACCACGCGCCCCAGCGTGGTGAGCGACTTGTTGATGCCCTTGGCCTCCGTCAGCCGCTCCCCCGTGGCCCCGCTCTTGCCCACACGCTCGCTGCCTGCACGGCGATGGCCGCCATGTTGGCAGCTGCCTGGCTGGATGCACGGAGCTGGCTGGTTGCATGGAGTGGTGACCTGCTGGTGCTCTCCCTACTTTAGGAGGGAGCCCAGGTGACACCCCTGGCCTTCCCGTTTGTTGTTGACCACCACCACCCAGTCTACCACACCTACCTGCCAGGTCAATCAGGTTCAGCTTGGCAAACTGAACCTTGGTGACCCCCGACTCCGCCTGCTCCTCGTGCGCCTCCACCACAGCCGTGAACACGCTGCGGGCACGCAGCCAGGCGGCAGGCAGGAGCGTCAGCTGTGGGAGGCAGCGGCACACCACTGCATGCGGCGCAGACTGTTGACGGCTGTGCCGACCCGCGTGCCATCTGACAAGCCTAGCCAGCCCTCCACACACACACACACACACACACACACACACACACACGCACAAGCAACACACACGCATGCACACCTGTGAGATCGCGAGGAGCGCTCGTTCATGCGAGTGGAAGCCGTGTGGCGGTTGGCAGACCCCTTCTGAATCAGACGCATCACATCATCCGCTGCATGCAGAGGGGGCAGCCCAGCACATTGCAGCAGTCAGGCACACAGGCAATTGCCAGGCAACCACCCGGTCACCCATCTCAACACCCAACAGCCACCCCACCCCACCCCACCCCCGCCGCACCGTTGACCACCACATGCTCGGTGAGGCCCTCCACAAACACGCCCTGGTGCTGGTCGCCGTCCCGGATTTGCAGGCCCGAGGCGCCGGGCGCCAGCAAGTCGGACAGCTCCTCATTGTAAACCTCGCAGGCGCTGCATGTGTGGGGGAGGGAGGGAGGGAGGGGTGCAGGGTTGTGCGCAGTTGTGGCCGGTGGGTGGGAGCGGGGAGAGACGACAGAAAGCGTTGGCAAACAGACGCAGGAAGCAATGCCAGGGCTGTGCGCCGCGAGCAGGCAGACAACGCTGCGGGGCGCGGGGCGCGGTGGCATAGGGCGTAGCGTCGCTGGCAGGCTGCTGCTGCAGCCGCTCACTAGCACTTGACGGTGTACCGCACTCCGTCCCGCTCCTCGTCTGTGATGCGGTCAAACAACTGGCGGAAGACGCGCAGCGTCAGGCCGCACTGCAGGCAGGTGGGTGGCGGCGGCAGAGGCGGCAGCAGGGTTGGGGCCGAGAGCAAGGGCAATGGGTAGCGGGCAGGCATGCAGGCCAGCAGGTGCTCGCCTCGTCCGCCAGAGCGCCATCTTCGGAGCGCTCCGCATCTCCGGTGATGGTGTGGGTCTTGCCCGCCCCCGTTTGTCCATACACGAAAATGCTGGAGTTGAAGCCTGAGCGGAGTGGCGGCGAGGGGGGCGCAGGCAACAGTGAGAGGGGGCGAATCACAACAACGCAGAAGAGTAGGCAGGAGGAAGCAGGCACAAGAAGAGGCAGCCCAACCATCACAGCCAACCCGGGCCCTGGCACCACGCTGTGCCTTGGGCAAACTGCACCGGCACTGCAGTGCCACCAGCACCCAGCCGCCTCACCCGCCATCACGTTGTCCACCATCTGTTCCCCCACCGCCGCAAACACCTCCTCCTGCCCCTCCTCCGGCCCCAGCACCCGGTCAAAGGTGGCCATGAAGGGCTCTGGCTTGGCAGGGTCCGCCAGAACAACCACACGGCCGCCGCCGCCGGGTGGGCAGCTGACGCAGGCGCGGCTGGCGGCGCCGGCGCTGCCGCGCTCCCGCGCGCTCAGAGGCCGCACGCGGACAAAGACGCGGATGTTGTCCTTGTCGGAGGGGCCGCTGATCCCGCTGCTGACGGCGGCGGCATCCTCGCCGGGCGGCAGCAGGTCATCTAGGGCGCTCAGGCTGTCTGCCAGGCTGGTGCAGGCGGCGTGCGGCATGGCACTACCACCCCGTGGCGAGCTGGGCTCGCTGTGCACGCCAGCAAGGCCGCGGCCAGCGATCCGTGTCCGCTCGGAGCGTGCCGGCAGCCCGCTGCGGGTGCGCAGGGGGGTGCGGCCGGTGGCGGGCGTGCCGCCAGTGCCCGTGGCCGTCGATGGCCGGGCCAGCTGCAGGCAGTGAGTGCGAGTTAGGGTCCATCAAACATTGGTGCTTGCGACGGGGCTTGTGCAGGGCCTTGCAGCAGGCGCCCAGGAGCAAGGCCACGGCGGCGGCCGCCACACGGCGGAGCAGCTGTTGGCAGCTGGCAGCTGTTGCCAGCCGGCGCGGAAGACACGCCTACATGCTTGCACAGCGCCATGTGCACACCTTTCGAGGCGTGGCGCTCTGCGGCCTGCGTTCTCCGCGAGGGCTGCCTACCGGTGTGCCACCGCGCGAGGCCGCAGCCCGACGTAGGTCCAGGCCCGCTTCAAGGCGCGACATTGGTGTCTTTGGAGGCCGCTGCTCACAGCATACCCGCTGCAGGGGCGTTGTTACGTGCCCCGTCCTCCCAGGGGCCAATGAGACCCCCTGCGGTTTGAAGCATGTAAAGCAGCGATTGCCGGGGCTAGGTGGAAGCCGCGCAGGCCTTCGTTTCCTTCTTTTGTTTTGGGGTTGGCCACGTCATTCAGCACATTTCACCGCCGTCTTCTATTGCACCCCGATTCATTACATCGGATCACCACCATGATCTCCAGTGCGCCCTGCCAGAAGGGGGCGGTAGCCCAGCTGCATTGCAGCACAGTCTGCCACACCCCCAAGCGACACGCGGCTGTGCGATGCAGCTGTACGGCCTCAGGTGAGACGCGATTGGATGGCGCCAGCCGAGAGAGCCGCAAGCTGCTGACAGTGCCGCCTGCCGATGCTGTGCTCACAGGAGGAAGCAGCACGCGCTCCAGTGGCGCCCACCCTCGCAGACGAGACCTGCTGCAAGCGGCAATGGCTGCGCCGCTGCCGCAGCTGCTCCCCTGGCCGGGGTTAGCGGCGGCGGCCACGGCCGGCGAGCCTGGTCCACGGTATCTCACCGCCGAGCAGCAGGCGGCCGTGGATGCAGCATTCGCCGCCACGCTGCCCAAATCCAAGGTGTGAAGGCTTTCCTTGTTGCATGGCCTTTGAGTCCCCTTCTGGCTGAAGGAATGAGAATGGCCACAACCCGCAGAGCACCGCCTCACTCTGGTGGTGGTTCTGCTTCCATGCCCTTGCCTACCGCCTACAGGCCCCCGTCATGGTGCGCCTGGTGTTCCACGACGCCGGCTCCTACAGCGCCGCTGCCGGCGATGGCGGCGTCAACGCCTCGATCCGGTTCGAGCTCGACCGCCCCGACAACTTTGGCCTGAAGCGCGGCTGGTGCGCCATGTTCTGTTCATGCAAGTCGCCCACACCAACGGCCCATGCCACAAGCTGCTGGCTGAGCCACCGCCTGCGCGTCATGCTCGCCCGCCAATCGATCGCTGTGGTGGTTTCACATGGCTCCGCGAGTGCAGGAACGTGATCGAGGCGACCGACAAGAAGCTCAAGGGCACGGCGGCAGAGGGGGCAGTGTCCAAGGCAGACCTCATCGCGCTGGCAGGGGCGTACGCCGTGCGCATCACCGGCGGCCCTGCAATACAGGTGTGGCGGTGGCGGGCTTGTGGGTCAGCAAGGCCACCGCGGTGCTTCACGCATGTGGGCTGTCTGCACACGCCCGTCAACCCGAGGCCAGGCACGGGGCACCAAGCATGCGGGAAGCAGGCATGGACAGGCAGCGGCATGTCATGCCTGCTCGCGGCACCCCTCGCTCCCTACGTGCTCCTGCTGCGGCCGCAGGTGGCTGTGGGGCGGCAGGATGCTGCGGCCGCAGACCCCGACGGGCGCATGCCTGAGCTGGACTTCAGCGCCGAGCAGCAGCTGGCCAACTTTGCGGCCAAGGGGCTCAGCGCCCAGGAATTTGTGGTGCTGTCGGGGTCGCACACGGTGAGCAGAGGGGGGTGGCTGGGCTGGAGCGCGCCACAGACTGTTTGGATGAGCTTGGATGGGCTGGCTCACATGCCGTCAGTCTGGTCTCCCTTTCTGCTCCGGTTTCCGTACCACTCGCTCCATGTGTGGTGCTAGTCCCCCTGCCTGCCTGACTCCCTGTCCTCTGCTTGTGTGCAGCTGGGCAGCAAGGGGTATGGCGACCCGGTGACCTTTGACAACACCTACTACAAGACGCTGCTGCAACAGCCGTGGGTGGACAAGAGCAACGAGATGGCGCAGCACACGGGTGCGCTGCCGGCCGCGTCGCAGCTGCCGGCCGGCGATGGCCACTGCGCTTTTGGGAAGCAGTGCAGCTGGCTTGCATTCTCTCGTCGCTCGGCTTCTCGGATTGCCAACCCGCACCACCACACCGCACGGCCCTGCACACACATTGTGTCCACTGAGTGAGCCTGACCCGCCCACTGCCGCAGGGATCCCAACCGACCACGTCCTGCCCGACGACCCCACCTGTCGCCCCCTCATCCAGCGCTACGCCGCCGACCAGGCCGCCTTCTTTGCCGACTTTGCGGCGGCATACGACAAGATGGCCAGCCTGGGGGCGCGCTGGGCCTGAGTGCAGGGAGCGGCCCCTGTGGGTCTACCGCGAGCGACTGAGCGTGGGTGGAGCGTTTTTTTGTTGAGCGTTGAACACGTGTTGAACCAGCAAGCAGAGGTGCTTGCCCTAGCCTTGTGGCCGCCGTTTAATAAAATAAAATTGCACAGTAAACTTCTATAAATCAGATTGGTTAACCAACCAGGTGGGTCTGTGCTTCTTAGTCCCTTCGCCGTGGCCCTTATTCCCTGGGCCACAGATGGTTGGCGGCAGCCCCCTCACGCCTCCTTCAGCTCCTGCAGCTTGGCGATGGCTGCCGACAGGTTCTCCAGATATAGCGGCTCCAGGTGGTCGCTGAGCGCACTGCAGCCAGCGCAGGAAACACACAGCAGTTCGCATAGCAGTTCACAGTGCTCACATGTGCATGGCATGAATTCTGTGCTGGCGAGCTAGCCTGGCTCCGCCAGCATGCTGCTCGCCGCCTGGCATTCAGCGCATCCCTGCCTGAACAGGAGTCCACTGACACAAACCCATGCGCCAGTGCCAGCAGGCTGCCCAGCCGCACCTGCCGTCCAACAGCGCGCTCATGGCCCGAATCTCTTCTTCCAACAGGCTGGCCACATCCCGCACGCTGGGAGCTGCCGCCACAGCAGCCGCTGTTGCCGCCGCCGAGGAGACCACCGCGGCTGCAGCGGCGGCCTTGCTGCCAGGCTGCGCCTCACCATCCTGCTGCTGGCCGGTGCCCGCAAGCGCGCTGGCCGCGGCGGCCACCGCGGTCGCGGCTGACACCAGCACCGGCTTGCTCTGCTGCAGCATGTCGGCGGTGGCGATGCTCTGCTCGTCGCCCGAGGCTACTGCCGCCTCCTCCTGCTTCGCCAGCAGCTGCTCTGTGAGCATGGGCAGGTTGACGGCTGCAGCCAGGGCCACATCAGCCATCTCCGCCCCCTCTCCCAGAGACTGGCTGCTGTTGCCTGCAGCACGGGCGCGACGGGACCGCAGGACGGCATTCAGTCTTGTGGACATGGTTTCGGGGGGGAAATGCTGGCGCTGCCCCTGTGCGACCCGACATCCTGGCGACTGCCTGCTGGCCGCCTCACGTGTCAGCTCCACCTGCCCATCCGGGCCCAGCAGCGCCCTGTGTCCCACGTGGCAGTAGCCCAGCATGCGCGGCACCAGCGCCACGGCGTCGTTGCTGTTGGCCACCCGCCAGGTGTTGGGCACCAGCGCATCAAACTGCACCCGGCGGGCGGTGCAAGATGTGGAAGAGGCCAGTAGGTGCATGGCGAGTTCTGGGGAAGGCGGTGGTCAGGGGCAGCGGCAGGCAGGCAGGAACCGACACCCGGGCGCCGCGGCAAACGCAGCCACCCCCACACCAAGGCTGCGCGGGTTGGGCGCAGCATGGCGCCGCACCTGCTCCGCAAATGCCTTGTTCCCAACCCTGGGGGAGCCGTAGTTGTAGTGGACAATGGCGGGGCGGGGCACGCCACGCCAGGTGCGACGCGCGCAGTCGTAGGCGCACAGCGTGCTCAGCGCGCCGCCCAGCGAGTGCCCCGTCACGTACAGCGTCCATGGCTCCGTCTCGCCTGCACCCAGGCAGGGAGAGGAAACCTGGGCCAATCACGCGTGCGTGCCAGGTGTACTCACCACAGCAACTTGCAGCACCGCCCTGGAAGCTCCCGTTGAACACGCGCGCCATCCAGCAGAAAGGGCCTAGGGGTCGGTCAGAGGTGCCGCAGCCTCACCTGCCAGCACAGTCTCCAGCAGGCGCAGCACCTCTGACCGCACGCTGGCATAGGCGTCAAGGAAGCCGTGGTGCACCCAGAGGGGCGCCTGATCCTCGCCGCCGCCCTGCTCTGCCGCCGCCGTACCCTGCTCCTGCTGCTGCTGCTGGAGGACGGTGCGCAGGCCCTGGAGCACCGAGGAGCGGAAGTCCTGGCGCTTGCTCTGCAGGGTGCTCTGCAGCCAGGCAGGGAAAGGAACGCAGATATGAAGGCAACAGCCACCTAGTGAACAGCGCGGCTCCCAGCCCCCGAGTGCAGCCCAGCAACCTGAGGTGGGCTGCATCAACAGCGGAAAGGGAGGTGCAGGGGCGGGAGCAGCAGGGGCACGCAGCAGCACGGCGCACCACAGCTGCCTCCAGGGTTGGCGCGGGGCTGGCGGCCTGGCCGGCCGCGTCCCGCCGCCGCCAGGCCTGCTGGCTCGGGTCGGGCACCCCCTCTGGGTCGAGCGACGCGGGGACAAGGCTGAGGTCGGTGAGGATGTCCTGCAGCACACGCACACAGCCTCAATCCAAGAAATCAGCGTGCCAAGCCACACCGATAACATAGCATACAGACGCAGTTTCAGCGCAAAAGCCCACACAGGGCTCAACTCCCGCCCAGCAACACACACACACACATATACACATTCACCTTCCACTTGGTCTGCTCCGTGCCACGGAAGGCCACGCAGACGCGGCGGGTGGCTGGGTTCCAGAAAATCCAAACCTGCAGGAAAATGAGCGAAGTGGCGGTTGAGACCGCAGGACCTGGGCTGCAGGTGCATGCTCGGCTCCAGGAGAGCATGCTGAACAACCTGCATCGTGCAAAGACAGCTTTGTGGGCCGCCGCCGCTCCGATGACAGACAAACCGAGCCACCCAAGTCCACATGATGAGAGCGTCACCTGGGTGTCTGTTTCAGGGTTGTCAAGATATGCCACAGGATCAAACATAGCATCTGCAGCCGCGTTCAACACGTCCCGCTGCAGGCATAAGGCACAAGCAGGACCGCCGCTGTCGGGTGATTGCTGCAGTTGCTCCTTCACCCAGCATGGCAGTCAAAGCGAACAAACGATAAAGCATGTGCCCCGCAGATGCGCTATGCATGAACCCGCACCTGCAGGCTGCGCCACTGGCTGGAAAGGATGGTGGATGGGGGCGAGCCCAGCACAGGGTCGCCCATGTGGCTGGCGGCCGCCTCCCCCGCCAGCACATCGTCTTGCCCAAACGCCAGGAAGCGCAGGCGCAGGGTGATGCTGCCCGCCGACCCACTGCCTCCCCTGAAGGAAGGCGGAAGACCATGTGTCGGGTGCGATGCGAAATCAGACGCAGCACAGCGGCCTGCTGTAGTGAGCCGTGACGTGGCACAGCAGCGGTGGCGGCAATGCCCTGCCTCCTACAAACCTGAGCGGCAGCTCCACATCGTGCGCCGCGCCATCCACCACGTCCTGCAGTGCAGCAAAATTCGTACAGCAATGACCAAAGGCTCAGAAATGACCCGCTGTGCAATCTTCCTTCCCCGCTCAGCTTATACAGGCAAGCACACAAACAAGAGAGAGTTCCCTGGCCCCCCCCCCCCCCACACCACCACCACCACCCCCACACACACACACACCTGCAGGCCCCGCATGGTGCTGCCCAGCAGGTCATCAGACTTGCCCACATCCGCATCCAGCACACGCACAGTCAGGCGCTGCTTGGCGGGGTCGCTGCAGCATGGCAGGGCACCACAGCGGCAGGGACAAGCGCATGAAGCGGCAGAAGCGGAGGATGCTGGGCGCCGTTTGCAGCTGGAGCCATTGGCGCAAGCTTGTTGGAAAGCAATCCCCCGCTGCCAGCCACACCTCGGCCAGCCTTCCTTGCTTGCCTGACAAACAGGAAGAAGGTCTCCCCCCATTGCGGCTCCAGGCTCTGCTGCACCACAGCCGTGGCTGCCGCCGAGTCGCCAATGTTGAGCACGGCATAGGGATCGCTCTTGGAGCCTGGCCACCACTGCAGCAGTCGAGGTGGCAGCAGGACTGGCAGCTGTGAAAGCGAGGGCAGGTGGCTCTGACATCGCTGGCAACCACCCCTGCTACCCCCTGCCACCCAAACTCAACCCCACTCCTGCAACGCGGCACAGATAACGATCAGAGATGGTCTCCAGCTGCCAGACTCACGTCGGCGGCCGGCAAGCCGGCAGCCTTCACCGCTGTCACCTCCATCAACCCGGCAAACTTCCGCCTCAGGAAGTCCCTGCGACACAAAGGATGAGTGCAGGCGAGTGAGCAGGCCAGCCAGAGTAGTAGGGAGCAGCTCTCATAACAGCTGTCTCTGCCAACTGACTCTACACTTTCCCATCTCCCACTCCGCCCTCACTTGTCCACGTAGGTGATCTCTGTGCCGCCCATGGACGTCATCTTGAGGCTGGGGGCGCCCGCCTCAATGTCGTTGTACGCCTCAAACGCGCACCCCGCCTGCTCAATGCGTTCAGCAGGGTGAGCAGGTGGGCACCCCATTGTTCAATTCGACGGGGATGGTGAGCGATGAAAAGAGAGTCACAGGCACAAACACTGCTCACCAGCGCCAGACCCAGCGACCAGTCAAAGGCGGTCGACGGGTCGTCATCAGCGGTTGCGGGCGCTGCTGCTGCTCCCTCTGCTGCTGCTGTCGCTGCAACCCCACGCCGGGATTCATGCATAGAGCGGCTGCTCAAGGCGAGCTGTGGGGACCACCGGAGGGCAGCTGGGCAGCGGGCGGCGCAGGCGGGCGGGGTGTTACCCGGCCACCGCAGCTGCACAGCTGTGTTGGGCGAGACGGCAGGCACCCAGTGGCCATGCCGCAGGTGCTGGCTGCATCGCACAGCTGCCGCCATACCGCTCCTACTGCTGCTGTCGGAGGCCAGACAGGGTAGCCAGCAGGCGGCCATGCGGCAATCCGGCAATTGAGATCGATCGCCACGGCAATGTGGTTGGCAAGTACCCGAGAAACGCAATTAGCATTACGTACACGTGGCAGAATGGCTGGGCAGTCTCCTCCTGGCCCCTCTGCAGTGGTCATGCACTGGTTGCAAATGCATCTGATCAGTGGAGGAGCAGACGCCAGGACCTGCCCCCTCCACCTCACCAAAACTCTCCTGCAAGTAGCTCAGCGGCGCCACACCCCTTCAGTCGTCGCACTCCACCACCACCATCGCAAATCTGGGCCGAGACTGCGTGCAGCAGAGGGCAGCAGCATGTCCGCCGAGCCGGCGGCAGCGGCAGCAGGTTTGTCCACGCCGTGCCAAGCGTCATTGCCCAGCGTCTGTGCTCAAGCAAGGCTTGTGGCTGCTGGGTGCAGAGGCAGTGGAGAAGGAGCTGAGCTTTGTGAATGCAAAAGGCGAGCGGCTAATGGGTCGACTACTGGATACCGGCTCAGAAGATGCTGTCGTGTTGTGCCACGGGTGGGATAGGGCGCCATCGAGTGTGGCAACCTAGTGGCTTGCAGATGGCTGGGTTGCAACGGAGATCGGCGGCTGGGTTGCAAAACACTGCAGCACAGCCGACTGCAGCGCACAATGTCAACTCACCTACCTGCCTCGCTGCCCGCCTGCCTGCCCGCGTCCCCCACCTGGCCCTCCAGGTATGTGGCCAACATGGGCATGTGCCGCTTCCCGCTGGTGGCCGCCCAGCTGGCGGCGGCAGGCATCAGCAGCTTCCGGTTCGACCACGCCTGTGCCATCTACAGCAAGAGTGAGCGCAAGGGTCCCTTCCGCATGGGCAACCACGAGGAGGAGTGCCAGGACATGCGCGCCGCCGTGGACTTTGTGCACAGCCAGGGCAAGCGCGTGGTGTGCCTGCTGGGGCACAGGTGGGCGGTGGCGGAAAGGGGGTAGAGTTCTCTGTAGGAGGGCTGGAGCAACTACTTCAGCTGCTGGCCAACTGCAGCCTGCCTGGGAGTTGCGCCCATGATTAGCACTCTTTGCACTCGCCTGCCCAACCCAGGACCTGTCTGCTTCCGCCACCTGCAGCAAGGGCGGCACCAACTCGGTCATGTTTGCTTCTCGACACCACGACGTGCCCAAAATCGTCAACCTGGCGGGGCGGTTCAAGTGCAGGTGGGGTGAGGGTGGCATGACGATGGGGGCATCCATCCATCCGCCAGCCAGGCCTGTTGTTTGTTGTGTGCCGCAAACTGCACGAGAGCTGTCCAGCCATGGTCCTCACCTCAGCCTGCTGCACACCTCCCGCATGCGCCTGTCAGGGAGGGAACGCTGCAGCGGTTTGGCGCCGATATCCTGGAGCGGCTGGCCAAGGAGAAGGCCATCCCTCGCAAGGAGCAGTGGGGAGAGTGGGTGATGACTGAAGAGGTGCGGCAGGGCGGGGCAAAGTTGGGGCCGGGCAAAGCAGGGGAGATTATGGCCGGACTCAACCTCTAACGGTTGGCTTACGGTCTGCAAGTAGCAGATGCAGCAGATGCGCATTGCATTAACTTTGGTTTGGGCGTTGTGCTCCTCGCTGCAGGATTTCATGGGGAGAGTCGGCTTGGACATGGAGGGCATGGCGCGCAGCATCCCTCCCACCGTCTGCATGCTCTGCCTGCACGGCACGGCCGACACCACGATCCCCTACCAGGCGCGTGGCGTTGAGCGGGTTCAGCTGCACATGAAGAGCGGGATCCTGTGCCTGACACATGCGTGCTGCCGTGCCTGGCGTGCCCTGTATCCACCGCAGGAGTCGGAGCTGTGCGCCTCGGTGGTGCCCAACAGCCGGCTCATCCTGGTAGAGGGGGCGGACCACAACTTCACGCAGAAGGAGGCAGGGCAGCAGATGGCGGCACATGTCGTGGATTTTGTGCTCAGTTGACCATACCAGGTGGCTGAGCTGAACGCCAGGTGGCTGAACGCCAGCTGCGGTCCTCAGTTGCAACGTTTTATCAATCTGCTTACAGCTCTCGCTACTCAAATATGGCAGGCGCATATGCGCAGACTTGAAAACGTCAGCAGCACGTCAGCACTGCCGCTGCAACGCCCACCCAAGCACAGAATGACATGAAACAAGAATTGTTAAAGCCGGACGCCTACCCTGCTGATGTGGGGGCCGCATCAAGCAGCCATGCCATGGTGCAGAGTACCCGCTGTCCTTCTGGCCTCCCGGACTTGAGACTTTCGTTGTGCAGCCAGAGCCTGGCCAACTCTGCGTGCCGTTGCCACTGCCTGCCGACAGAACCCTGCCGGTCACTTATTTGGCGTGGGGCTGGCGGCAGCCGAGCCCTCTGGGAAGGGCACGCCCAGCTCCAGGAGCTTGGAGAAGGCGGCGGCAAAGTCCTTGAAGAAGGCCTCCTCATCCTTGGCATACTGCTGCACATACGGCTTGAACTTCTTGTCCCACAGCAGCCACATGTCGGTGTTGAGCTGGACGGAAGTGGTGGGGGGGGGGGGGATGCAGGAAAATTAGCAGCCGACAGCAAAGATAGATGTCAGACAGCGGTACTACCGCATCAGATCACCCCACACATGCCCGCGCACCATCATGAGCTGCCCGCTCTTGTCCTCGTACTGCAGCGGCCCCTTCCACTTCTTCTTGTGCCACTTGTTCTCCGTCAGCTCCACAAAGTAGAGGTTGGAGAAGGTGGTGGGGGCTGCAGGCGGGGAGGGGCAGGCAGGGTCTGGGTGAGGGCAGGCAGGGTAGAGGGCCAAGGGTCATGAGCTGCAGCCGCGTGGGAAAGGCAAAAGCGCTGGCTCAAGGACAGCCCTGCCCTCACCGTTGGTCCAGGGCCCCACAAACCCGCTGCGGTCGTCGTGGCAGCGGCCCAGCGTGTGGGCGCCGCACAGCGCGACAATCTCCTGGTCGTTGAACCCCATCCTGCAGGGACCAGGGACCAGAGGCACGGCGGCGCCCCATTTGCTTATCAAGGTGAAAGGCAAGGGAGCAGCCTTGCGCAGCACGTGAGCTCCTGCCCATGCACCCACAGCTTGGCCCTGCTCGCACTGCCACCAATGTAAGCCCCGCGAGCCCCCTTCAGAGAAGCCAGCCCACCTGTAGAAGATGTCCCGCACATGCTTGGCATCCTTGTCGCCGTCGGGCAGCCGGCCATCGGGCAGCGCCACAAAGTTCTGGGGCGCGTAGTCGCTGCGGCCGGGGCGCCAGGGGATGTGCGGGCCTGCGGCAGGTGGCGCGGGCAGGCAGACAGCGGTTGCCAGGATGGGGTCAGCAGCTAAGAAAGGGGGCACGCACCCAGCAAGGTGCCCTGCACGTCACGTTTCAGCTGCCAAGAAGGCCGGTGCCACAGGCAGGCGGGCGGGCAGACCAGCAGGCAGGGCGCCCCGGCAGGTGTGCACACCGCCCATGGCTTCGATGGCGGTGGCGCCCGCCAGGGTCCACAGGTCGGAGTAGGAGATCCAGGGGTACCTGCAAAGCATGAAAGCATGGGTATGGCTTCACCAAGCTGTAGCAACTTGGGATTGGGATTCTCTGGCAGCTGTTCAAGAGAATGCTGTGCAAGTGCAAGCTGCTTCCCTTCCGGCTGCACCTCCCCACACAACCCGGCCGCGCTCACTTCTGCTTCACAGGCTCCAGCAGGTCGCGGGCCACCGCCAGCCCCGCGTTGGCGCCCCAGTTGCTCTCCGGCAGGAAGCTGCGGGGGACCAGAGGATGTCGCTGGTCAGGAGTGGGTTAAGCGCCGGCAGCGGCAGCGGCAGCGGGTGCACTGTAAAAAAATCAAACAAGAAGCGGCTGCCCTGCCCTGCGCTCACCGCATGGTGGCGCCGTTGGAGCCGCCGGTGTTGGTGTTCTTGTCAAAGGTGCCGGAGGTGTGCCAGGCCAGGCGCACCAGCACGGGGCCGTAGGATCCGTCATCATAGTCTGGTGGGAGAGCCGCGGGGCAGGGGAGCAGGCAGGTGGGATGCACGACGAGGAAAAATACGAGGTAAGCATACGGCGCTGCGCTTTGAGCTCCAACTACACCCCCTTCCCCGCCCTTCCCCCCCAACCCCCGCTGCTGCTCCCTGCGGCACAACCGCCGCACCCTCGTTGCTCTCAAGCAGGTCCTCCACTGCCTTGCGCACAGCGTCGTAGTCGGGCTTGAAGCTGGCGGCCTGCAGCGAGGGTGCAGGTGTGGGCTTGGCATGGGCGGCAACGAGGGCCAAGCGGATGTCGCTTTGCAACCTTGCAGTGGGCCTGGCAGCTCACCGCGGCGGCAGTGCCATTCGGCGGCGCGCCCAGCAGGCCGTCGAGGTACCCGCCCTCCTTGGCGTAATAGAGGCCGGCGCCGGCGCCCGCCAGGCCCAGAAACAGCGGCAGCGAGCTCTGCAGCATGGCGGGCAGGAGGCGGGACGGAGTCATGGTGTCAGCCAGGATTGGCTCTGATGTTCCCGAGTCCTCCTGGTGTGCAGTCTTGCGCCTGCGTGGAACACGCCACCGTGGTTTGCAGCGCAGAAGAGCAGCAGCCAGACGGGCTGCCTCCAACAGCCGGGCCGTCGGCTGCCGCAGCTGGCCGCCCGCCGCGGTGGTGTCCAACCCAACACGCCGTCGAGGACCACACATGCGGCACCATCACGCCGCTGGGCCGGTGCTAGAGAGGCCATATAGAGCGGCAGAGCCGAAACCCCAAGCTGCTGCAGCCTCTCGCTGCAGTGGCTCACCCCGCTCTTCTTAGGAGCAGCCTCAGAGGCGTAGCCACGAACGCCCTGGGCGGCCTGGGCGCCCAGGCGACGAACCAGCGTACGCAACATGATCTCTCCGACACTCTCCTCAGGCCCAGCAAGCCGCCTGCAAGCTCCTAAAGCTTCCGATCACGCAGACAACAATGCGAGTGCTCTTGGTGAAAGTACAAGACGCTGGTGTGGACAGAGTTGGCTGCTGTTCTATGAACAGGGAACTCCGTTCACTTTGATCAGCCATCCCAGCTGTGCGCAGAGCCGCCGTCGCTTGGTCGACTTGAGCACAGCCTAGAAGGCCCCTTTTCTGCTCGATTGCAGCCGCGGAGGTCGCAGGGGAACGCCAAGATGGGGAAGAATCAGACGCACAAAGCCATGCAGATGCAGAAGCACTCGCGGGGCACGGGAGGCGGGGATGAGGCCCAAGACGCGCGCTACAACGGCGTGGACGCCTCCTTCCACACTACGGAGTGGCACGCCGCGCGGCTGGCGGCGCTGCAGATGGAGAGGCCAAGGTGGGGCGGGGCAGCGAGCGGTGGGAGGCGCCACCACTGTCTGCGCGTCTGCTGTGCCGCACGCTGCACGCTTCCTCTGCATTCTCATTTCACCGCTCCCCGCCTGTAGCTGGGACGACTGGAAGAAGCAGCAGGACGAGGCGGCGGCGAGAGAGGCAGCCATGGAGGCAGCGACGCGGGACGCAGACCGTGAGTTGAACGAACAGCGCTGCTGCCGACTGGGAAGGCCCCAGCTCGCCCATGTTTTGAGATTGATCTCCTGCATGCGCTCCCGCCTGCTGCTCCTTGCAGTCCAGTACAAGGCAGAGATGGAGGCTGAGCGGTCACGGCGGCTGGGGCTCACCAAGGAGGGCGGCGTGAAGAAGCGTGAGGGCAAGGAGGGGAAAAAGGAGAAGAAGTCGAAGAAGCGGAAGCACAAGAGCAAGGACAGCAAGAAGAAGGTGGGGGTGGGGGGGTGGAGAGGATGCCGTGCTGGGTGGATTAGTCAATTGGTGTTGGACAGGCGTGGCACACATGTTTTGAGCTGCTGCATGGTGCCTGGTGCTGCGCTGCCGCTTCCCACCCCCCCCTTGCTCCCCTTCTGCGCCCTGCTGAAGCACAAGAAGAGCAGCAAGGACAAGCGTAGCAAGAAGAAGAAGCGGCGGCACAGCAGCTCCAGCAGCAGTTCCAGCAGCAGCGACAGCGACAGCGGCAGCAGCAGCAGCGACCAGGCGGACTATGGCGGCATGGGCAGCCCGGTGAGGCTCTCAAAGTTCCTGAACGCCTGAGCGCTTTGGCCCAGCGCCGGCTTGTTGTTTCTGGTCAGATGCCCCCTGCTTGTTTTTCACATGCTTTGCTCCAGCTTTGCTCCCTGCTCGCAACTTGTGCATGTTCTTTTTCGCTACCCACACCTGAACACGTGCACCCGAATGAGAAAGAGAGGTGGGCGATCTAATTGGAGGGTCTACAAAGATGTTGTCACACTGATGTCGCTGGCAGCCATGGAAGGCAGCCATGGAAGCCATGCTCGAGGGTGCCATGTAAATGCACGAATGGCCTGCGACCGCTGCACATTCGTTCGCTGGCAGTTGTAACGCGGCAGCACTGCGGCGGCGGCGCCACCATTGTCCGCTGTATCTACCTCTTTATGAATTTGCCATCTGAATCCTTCTCCCCATTGCCTGCCTCTTTCGCTAGCTTTGGCGCGGGCTGCGCTGCTCCCAAACTTCCTGTGACAGTGTTGACAGGCGCTTGCGGCATTGCCAGCGAGTCGACTGGATGCTCCCAAGTCGATAGAGCCCAGTGCCGGCCGCTTGCGCATCATGCCGGCCACCCCACGCGCCAGGAGGCGCAGGTGGCCTTTGGTGCTGGTGTTCACGGTGCTTGCCATCCTGCTCACCATGCTGGGATCGGGGCTGAAGCCGCGGGCGCCATCCCAGGTGCTGCGCCACGACGACCCGACAGCGGCGGCGAAGATTGGCGGCAAAACGGCATCCGCAGCAGGGGCATCCTCAGCAGGGGCCGCAGAAGAAGCGGATTATGTAGAGGACGGGGAGGAGGTGGACAGCGATATGGCAGCTGCAATGGCACAAGACGAAGCGAATGCGGCTCTAGCAGAGGAGGAGGCAGGGCCGCATGCGGTGGAGCAGGAGCAGCCGCGGCCAGAGACTCGAGCGGCGTCAGAGCAGCCTGACCAAGGTGCCAGTGTGCCCGCAGAGGGCGATTTCCCTGATCCTGCATTGCTTGAAGAGGAGCAGCACGCAGGCCCTGCAGCAGCCGAGGAGAGGCGAGAAGCAAAGGCACCCTCGGCCGCAGCAGCAGCAGACCAGCAGGTGGCTGCCAAGGCTGAAAGCAGCGGCGGCTTACCGGCGGCACCCGGCAAGCCTGTGCCGCTGAGCGATGCCGTGCCCAAGGTGGCCCTCATGTTCCTCACCCGCGGGCCGCTGCCGCACAGCAGGGTGTGGGACGAGTGGCTCAAGGGCGTAGACGGCGGCGTGGTGCCCATACCTGCGGTGAGCGTGGCAGTTTGAGCTGTGGGGCTCCGTGCAGACCCTGCTTGGTAGCCTCCATCTTATTGCGGCAGTGCGTGATTGGGATCGGCCGGTGCATCGCACTGGCTTCTGCCATGTCTGGGGTGTCTGGCAGGGCCCTTGGTGTGCCTGCCCCACACTGCTCCCATCAATCGCCCCCCTGTGCTGCAGCTGACGCGGCTGGGGTGCAGCCAGGAGCAGGTGGAGTTGGTGCAGGAGCAGGGGGCTGCACCTGGAAACGGCGGCGATAGCAGCTCGTCCCCGAATGAGCCGTTGGAGGGCCGCGGCAGCAATGCTACCCTGTATGAGCGCCAGCGCCTCTTCTCCATCTACGTGCATGCGCCGCCAGGCTACAACGTCTCGTATAACGTCAGCAGGTGGGATGCGAGCCGGACGCTCTGCTGGAGGGCAGCACCTGAGCCACCTGGGCGACAGCGCCACCTGCCTCGGCCGCCGCCTGCTTTCCCGCTGGTTAACCCCGCCTTTGCACCACCGCACACACACACCACCACCGCTATGTGCACACACATGCGCTCACCACCACCCCCGCACCATTCCCACCCCGTCCCAACTCTCGCTGCTCCTGCAGCATCTTCCGCGGCCGCGAGGCCAAGAAGCGGGTTCCCACCCAGTGGGGCACGCACTCCTTGGTGACCGCGGTGCGGCACATGGTGGGCGAGGCACTGCAGGACCCGCTCAACCAGCGCTTCATGCTCATGTCAGGTGCGCCGCTGCCGGCGCTGCTGCCGTGCCAGCGTACACTCGCTGCCTTCGCTGCTGCTTGGCGATCATGCGATGCCGCCAGCCGCCCGCCTGATCCACCCGCTCCGAGCCTCCCCCTGCCTGCCCCCCGCTTGCCTGCGGCCTGCCTGCAGAGAGCGATATCCCGCTGTGGCCTGCGGGGCTGACGTACCTGCAGGTCATGGCGGAGCCGGCATCACGAGTGGATGCCTGTGCCCCCAAGGATGAGGCGGAGCTCAAGCGGCTGGAGCCAGCACAGGCGGACGTGCTGAAGATTCCGCACGACCGGTGGCGCAAGAGCAGCCAGTGGTGAGCCGTGGTAGGGTGGCGTACGGCAGGGTAGCGCTGGCTGGGCATGTTGGGCTTCAGGCCAGCTGGAAGTGCTGCTCCGCCAGCGTGCATGCTGTGCCCAGGTGTGGCTGACGATCCGTCGACCCTTTGCCGCCTGGTGCCTTGTGAGCGTAGGTTTGTGATAAACCGGCGGCATGCGGAGCTGTTCACCAGGGACCAGGAGCTGAATGCGGTGTTCGAGAAGAACTGCTGGGTGCGGCGCGACATGGTGACGTGGAAATGGAGGGACGGGTAAGTAGGGGAGGTGACATCAATCCCAGCAGCCAAACAGTGTGGGCTGGGTGAGGAAGGGGTGGTACGGTACCTTTAGGAGTCCTGCCCATCTCCCCCAAGCCACCCACCACCCACAGACATACGCCCCACTCCCCTCTGCTGCTGCAGCGACCGCTGGTGCGTCAGCGACGAGCACTACCTGCCCGTCCTGCTGGCCCAGCACGGCGAGCAGGGGGCCTGCTCCTGCTCCTTCAGCGCCCATGGCAGGCCGCGCGCCACGCCGGTGTACACGCAGTGGCTGCCGGGCATCCCGCACCCCAAGACCTTCACCGCCGCGGAGCTGGCAGGGGAAGACCGGCAGGTGTTGGAGGCCGCGCGGGGCTGCACGCCCATCATTGCAGAGGCAGCATTGAGCACGTACGCAGACATGCTGGTGTCCCCTGTGGACTGGACACAGCAGGCGTGCGAGAAAGCGGCTGCCCAGGCCACGGCGGATGCCTCTGGCAGCGCCACGGAATCCTTGCCACCACCCACAGCAACAGCTGGGGAGGGAGCAGAGGGAGCAGAGCAGGCGGGAGCGGCAGCTGCTGCCGCAGGCTGGCAGCCAGCGCTGCTGCCCCCCTACATGTGCTTCCTGACGCTGCGCAAGGCGGCGGCCGACGCTGCCGAGCCGCTGGCGCAGGCTGTGAAGGCAGGGCGTCTGGATGCACAGTGATTCTCGTGCTGTATTCTACTCTGCAATGTACACACACCAAGCATGTTCCCTTGCCATTCTTTCATCCATTTGCCATTACATTTGATTCGTGTGCTTGCATGCATAGATTATGCTTGCCTGGTCACCCCGCTGATCATCATCACCCCGCTGATCATGCCCTGTTCTAAACAACAATGCCATGCCTAGAACTGCCAGATCCTGGTGCTTGAACCCAGCGCGTCGCTATGCCACTTCCTCCACCGTTGCCTGCTGCTGCTGCTGCTGCTGCTGCTGCTGCTGCTGCTGCTGCTGCTGCTGCTGCTGCTGCTGCTGAGGGCCGTCAAGCAGGTACGCTACGACCGAGACAAGGTCAGGGAAGTGTGGGTGGCAGGTGGCCAGAACCAGTGTGCACTGCCAAAGGGTCATGGTCTGCAGAGAGGGAGGAGGCAAAGGGTTTGAGATGTTGTGCCTGACTTTCATGAGCCACCAGGCCAGGCCACTGCAGCTGGGCCGTTCATGAGTATTACAGTGGGGGAAGGAAGGCGGAGTAGGGCTCACCTGGATCGTGGCCAGCAGGAAGGTCACCAGCGTCACCCAGGCGCGTTGCAAGCTCTCCCCAAGGTGCCTCAGCTCGCGCTGCAGCCCCTCACGACTGCGCCCCGCCTGCTGCATGCTTGTGCCGTACGGTGCGGGCTGTTGCTGGCCCTCGGTGCGGCGAGTGCCCACTGCTCCAGGCTGGGCCTGCTGCGGTGGGGCCAGCAGCAGGGGCCGCCATGCCGCAGCTCCTGCTTGGATGGGCTCGCCACCACTTCCACTGGCGGCCCCGGTCCCCTGCACCTCTGACAGCGGCCCCAAAGGCACCGGTGCAGCCGCCCACTGCTCCTGTGCTGGGGGGCTGCCAGCTGCTGCCAGCGCGGCAAAGGCCACCTGCCAGGACTGCAGCGCGGGCCTGCTTAGCTGAAAGCCCATGCGGGCCAGCAGCGGACCCATCGAACGCATCCAGCCCTGCCGTGCCTGAGCCAGCTGCTGCAGCTGCTCCGGGGTCAGTGTGGGGCGCAGCCTGTCCTGCACACACATGGGGATCACAGATGCACATGCCTTCAACATTGCAGCCTGCCAGGATGCCAGCCTGCCAGCCGGCAGTGCTGAGCAGTGCCCGACATCCTGCCAACCAGCAAGCAGCCTAAGCACTCGGACCTGCTAGCCTTCGGACTGTGCATGCAACAGGCTCTGCTCACCGCGGCCTGCTGCCAGGTGGTGGGGGGGACAGCGCTGCTGGTTGCCATCAGCCGCATCAACTTGGGTGGGCTCGGTCTTGCCATGGACAGTGCCAGCAGCAGCTTTCTCTGCAGCCGTGGCAGCAGCATGCCGTTAGTCAATGGGCAGGGCAGGAAGGGGCAATGCCTAACTTCTGCTGTGTAGAAGTTCACGGCATGACATGCATGCAGCTCGCAGCTTGGACAGCAGGCTGCTGGGCAGCACGGCTCACGAGCAGCGCGCACTGCTTGATGGCTTCTGCCGTGGGCTGGGGGTGGAGCGGTATGGGGCTGAACCCCTGGCTGGCAACAAGCTCATAAATCTGGCGCTGCAGCTGGCCACACTGCTCCACAAAAGCGGCAGCGTCGGCCTCGAGAGCGGATTGGAAATTGGCTGGCAGCAGGCGCAGCGCCGCCTCTGCCGCTGCCCCAGGGCTGTCAGCCGAAACCACTGTTCTCAGTTCCTCAACAAATGTACGTTCGGTTTCCACCACCACTTCCGCAGCTGACTGTGGGCCGCCATTGGCTCGCATAGCCGCTGCAGAGCCAACAGCAGCAGTCAAAACTGGGCCCTCGGGTGCGCACAAGATCCTAATCTGCTGGTGCAGATCCTGCTGCACGGCATCCATTTTCAGCAGCGCCTGCTGCCTGGTCAGCAGCCGCTCTTGCTCAGCCAACAGCTCGTCTCGTTCCAGGTGTGCCGCCTCCAGCTGAGCCGTCAGCTCGCTCTCCTGCTGCCGCTGGCGTTGGCGGTAGCGAGCAGCCGCCTCCCGGTTGCGCTGCCGCCGGTCAGCCGTGACGTCCTGGCCTGCGGAAGTTGCAGCCAGTGCTGCTGGCTGTGCCGCCGCTGCTCCTGCGGCAGCTTGTGCGCCTGGTGGTGCTGCCGCTGCTCCTGCTGCGGCAGCAGTAGCTGCTGCCACCCCGGCCAGAGCTTCGGCTGCTGCTGCCTCGTCGGACTCTGCCTGCTGCCAGGGCACTGCCGGCACCGGCTCATCCACGGGTCCCCACCCAGCAACTGCCTGCTCAAGTAGCTGCTGCAGCTGGGCCTGCTGCGGCATGAGCGGAGCGTAGCCGTGCTGGGGCGCTGCAGCTGCCGGCACTTCTGGCACCCCCAACAGTGCCGGCTGCCAGGCTCCTGGTTGGGCACCGACATGGACAGGAAGAGCGGGTGGGTGGACGAGTGCTGGAGCACCCGGCTGCTCGAGCTGCTCAGCCGGAGGAGCAGCGGCGGGAGCGGCGCCCTCAGCACTGCCTGGCGTGGCGGCTGGCAGCGGCGGCTGTGGTGCTGGGGCTGGAGTTGGCAGTGCGTCTGTGCCAGGGCCAGCCCCTTGCGCTGCTTCAGGGGCCTGAGACAGCTCTCCAGGCTCCATGGCGAGTCTTGTTTCTGAGGGAGGGTGCTCAGCCTGCCGTAAAATTGAGAAAGGTAGGGGATCCGTTTGGAAAGCTTCTGGTTCTTTGTTGCCTGCTGTGACTCAGCACGGCATAGGGGCACAGGCCACATGCCTTCCAATGGAGGCTTGCTTTCTGCTATGTCTTTATCCAAGGCCCGACATGCGACATGAGCACTCCAAGACGGTGGACCCTCCTCTCGGCTCGGTGCCTGGCCGGCTGCCAAGCAGCCACAACTCCCCAGAGGGATGGGCTGACGCTGGTGAGGGCAGCCAGCACCGCATCACCACTGGGGCACAGCTGGGCCATGAGCGCTTGCCCTCTGCCGCTTGAGTCGCGTAAGAGGAAGGCTTCAACCTTGGGTGTTGCTCTGCAGCGCTAGCGCGGTTTGGAAGCATCGCAACTGCAGCTGCGGCAGCAGCAGCAGTTCTACCGGCTGCCGTGGCCGCACCAGCCGGAGCGCATGTTAGGGCGGGCGCGCTGAGAGAGGGCGCCAGCGGCAAGGGCAGCGCCGCTGGGCTGGCGTTTGGACAGCCTGGTGGCTCGGTGGTCCCTGCTGCTGCAGGTGGGCAGGCAGCAGCTTGTATGCCAGCCACAAAGTGCGCCAGCAGCAAACCCGCTCAGTGCCAATGATCACCCGCAGTTGCCTTGATGCCTTCATGCCACCAACAGCCCACTTGACCCATACCTGGTGGCGCAGGCGCCCAGCTGAACAGTGCCCAAGCTGCCCAGCTGCAGCTGCTGCTGTCAACGGGCTACAAGCCAGCTGAGATTACGGCCGGCTTTGTGCCGTTTGGCGGCCTGCCCTCCCCGGGGTCAGAGGCATGTGTGCCATCCTCTCCAAGCCAGGCACATGGCCAGCTGGGCATTGGCTTTGCTGACAAGGGGCTCGCGGCTCGAGCTGCTGCATGGCAGCACCGAGGCCAGTACCTGGTGGCGGCCCGGCTGGCGTCTGTGCGGCAGCACGGACCGGGCGCGCCAGGGACCCCACAGCATCGCCAGCTGTTGTTCATCCAGCAGGGCATTCTGCAGTGTGTGCTGGAGCTCAAGGCGCTACATGCAGCGCAGATGCAGCAGCACCTTGCCATCCTGAAGCACTGAAAGGTGTGTGTTGGAAAGGCTGGCAAGGGCCCTCAGGCTGCAGGGAGGTTTGCAGCGGGCAGCGAGCACGACAAAGCGCAGCAAAGCACAGCAGAATCGAGGCCCTGGCTTGCTCAGATAGGCTGTGATGCCCTGTTTCTGCTTTCCTGCCTTGTCTTGCTGCCCACACAGGATCATGATATGGCAGCGGCGAGTCAGAAGCGATATCCCTGAAGCCTGTGGGTGGGAGCAAGCACGATGGCACCAGCCCGTGGGACCGATGCAGCCGGCAGCATGGGAAACAGCGACCACAGCATGCATGTCATGGTGCTGCACATACACACATACACACCAACAAGCCAGACCCAATCCATTTTCCATTCAACTCGTTCTCCATTGTTACAGGTGCTGCACAGTGCAGGCTAGCAATGGGGCAGGGAGAGCCCGAATTGTAGGCAAGGGCTGCGCAGTTAGGCAGATGCCGCCGTAGGACGGCACAAGGGAGGGCAACGGGCACAGAATGGAAAGAGGCATCTCAGAAGGTGAGGGGGTACAGGTACTCTCAGGCAGGATCACGCGAGGGCAGGGGGCCACTAGAATCACTCAGCCCAATGTGGCACAATAAATGGGAGGTGCGCTAGTAAGCTAAAGGTAGCAAGGGGGGCAGTTAGGCAGGAAGGTGCTGGGACATTGCGCGTGACAGCGCGGTACAGGCAAAGGCAGAGGGAGGGGCATTGGCAGTACAGAGTCGGAACATTTGTTTAGAGCGCTATCATATCATACGCTGGTGGGGACAACGAATGTACATTAAAAACTGGAGGTGAGTTTTGAAAGGCATTCAAATATTTGATAACACTCCTGATGGTGCACCCCTCAAAACAACCACGTGAGCCAGAGGGGCCCTCGCCAGCCTGCCGGCATCAGCGCGCGAGGGCCCTGTGCCTGGCCCTCGCCGTGCCACTTGGCATCGAAAAGTTCAAAGGTCTGGAAGCGGTGAGCTTCCAGCACAGCAGGCGGCGCCGCACAGCACCCGCTCTGCTGCTGGTCGTGTGCAGAGTCCATCCGGTCAAGTGGAAGCGTGGGGGTGGCATGCGGCACGACGACTGCCTCCGGCGCCGCGACTGGGCTTGGGGTGGCGGCATCGGGGCCTGCCACCTGGCCCGTGGAGGCCCCCGCGATGGCTGGGCGCAGGCAGTGGGCCATGGCCGGGGCGCCGCTGCTGCCGCCAAAGCTGCAGCTGCTGGCTCCGCTCTGCGCGGTGGCAGAGGAGGCAGAGCTGTCGGCGGGCTCGGCGGGGGCCTGGGTAGTGGCAGGCGGGGTGTGCGGCGGGCTGGTGGCTAGCAGCATGATGGTCGGGGTGGTGCCCGGCGAGAAGACAAGGTTGGTGGCGAGGATTGAGGCCTTGGTGTTCGCGGCAATAGGGGTGATGGCGGCGGGCTTGATGGCGGGGATGCGGTCGCGCACGTCAAAGCCGTGCACAATCGCCTTTGGCTTCCAAGCCGCGCCCCGCGCCCCTGCGCTGGTCGCAGGGGCTTCCAGCCACTGGTTGCTGGCGTACCACAGGTTGAGCTGCGGCTCTGTTGGTCCTGCTGCTGCTGCTGCCCGCTGTGCGGAGGCGGGTGGGGAGGGGACAGCAGGGATCTGCCACTCGGGGGACTCGACGACGGCGGGCGCCGGCTTCTTGGCCGCCCGAATGATGCCCATCAAGGACGGGCAGAAGAAGGGCGAGTCCTGCAGGCAGGACGCGGGTGTGCAGGCGCGACAACAGGCAGAGGCAATCAAAGTCAGGAGTGGCGTCACGTTGGGCGACAGGCGGGAGACCCGGCGGCGGTGGGGCGGCGGCCTGCTCTGGGCCTGCAAATCTGTTGCGGCACACACCTGCGATGTGCTTGGAGCGAGGACGGAGAGGTTCGAAGTTGAACCAGAGAACGCCATCAGAGAACTGCCAGATTCGCTAGCGGGCGGCGACTTGGCGACATGCATGGCGTTGTTCTTGACTGCAGGGCAGTTTTGGTATTGAAATAGGTGAGATGGCGCCGCCATGGGGGCTCAACCACCTCCCGCGTTCAGCATTCGGCCCAAGCCCAAGCGCCCGCCAGGCGGCCTACGGCAATGCTGACTAGCCAGTACAAGCTCCACAGACCTGGCAGCGGGCGTGAGGACAGGTTGTCGTGGCCGATGGCGCCCATCGACAGGATGCAGGCCATCTTGCGGCTGAGTTGTGAGGAGGAGCTGGATGCAGGAGGGCCTGAGGCGTGCAACAGAGTGTCCCCAGTGCAGAGTAGGGCAGAATGGAGGCCCAGGTGCGGCGCCCGCAGATTGACCTTCGCTGCCCTCCTCCTTTCCTCCCTCGCCCCGGGGACTAGTGGCCGGCGCCAGCTAGGCGCCCGCTCTCGGTTGGACTTCGTGCTCTTTGAAGAGAATGCATAGCCTGGCGGGGGATCGATGCCCCAGCAGACCCGCCTTACAGTATCCTTTTCTTTTGGTGTGACGGGCGCGAGACCGACGCTGAGCAGGCCTGCGCGCGCCACGTCCAGCGTGGCGACCACCTTTGTTGCCCCCAAACCCATGGCACTCACTGCTGCTGATGAAGAATAAAGTGTGACGCCGGTGGGGAGGCAACTAACGCCAGTCTACCTCTCACCGCGCGCACGCAGGCCTGCTTGCTGCAGAAGGGCCATTGTGGCAACGCACCGCGCCGCAGCCCAGGCGGGCGCTGCTTCCAAAGGGGCCCTCAGCCCTTGACATGCAGCAGGGCAACGGGCAATGCACTACGGTTGTGAGGCAGTTTAGCATCTTGTTCTGAATCAGTCCCGTACCGCTATTGTACCTGCTCCTAAATTTGTAGCCTGCTCAAGGTTCCATGAGCATCTGCAGTGTGTCTGGGCGCTGCAGCCCTCTCAGTCAGTAACGGTTTGGGCTTGATAGGCGATGGAGCGCCTCTGCAGGTTTTGCCTTGAATGCAAGCCCCCAGGCGGCCTGCGAGATGCACTTCTGCAGCCCTGCGACTGCAGCGGCACCCAGGGAGACGTGCACGCGAGGTGAGAGGCTGATGCCGACGCTCCCGCTGGGTTCCGATGCAGCGCGCGGATTGGTGCCCGCTGCTCTCCCATCCTGGTCCGCCACACCTTTGGCCAACACACAATGACTGATACCTCTCCGGGCGGCGATTGGTGCTGTGCAGCTGTTTGTTCAAGTGGCAGCGCGAGCAGCTCTCCAACGGCATATCAGCGGGCACCTGCACCACCTGCCGCAAGGAATACCACTTGCCGCTTGCCCACTGGAAGGCTGTGTACGATGAGCAAAGCGCCTTTCAGATCTACAGCAATGCAGCAGACGCGCGCAAGCTGCGCCGTCCTGTAAAGACGGCAGCGGCCCACCAGCAGCCAGCCCCGGTCCCTGCAGCCCCAGCGCAGCAGCGTGTCGCGGACGCAACCCACCTGGCACTGTGCCGGGAGCTGGCCTGCAGGGCTGCCCTAGCGGCAGGCCGGCTGGTCTGCATGCACAGCCCAGCGCGCCAGGTGCTGTCCGTAGGTCTGCTGCTGCTCGTCCTGGAAACCCGCCGGGATGTGTAACATGAGCAAGAGACTTGTACAGGAGTGCATCAAGCAAAAAATGGGCGAGTACACAACGGTAGGCCAGCATGGGCCACACAATGGGGGGCCGGGGGAGGCCGAGAGCAGAAGCAACGCGCAACAAGGGGTAGGGTCAGCAGTATCTGGAGGGGCCAGCACAGAAGAGCAGGTGGGGAGAACGGCATGCATTCACTTGGGCGCAGGGGCGATCTGGTTCAATCACTTCCCAGGGCAAAGAACAAATGAGTGGGAGCGCGCAGGCATCGCGGCACCGCGATGCCGGCGCGCCACCTGCTCCCGCCACAAGAGCGAGCGGGACAGAACAGAAGGGATGTGTCAGGCCAACGGCAACGAGTGGCCACGAGGCTTGCAAAATGAAACTAGTGCCATGATGCGGAGCCAGGAATGAAATGCTGGGGGGACGCGCGGCCCAGCCCGCGCGGCCGGCCATGCAGCCGGCTGCAGCACGCGGCAGCTTGGGCGGAGCACACGCTGGAGGTCTTGAGTTTCAGGCCGCTGGGGCGCCACAAAAGCGTCCTCGCCAGGCCGCCAGCCATCTCAGATGATGGTGCCCGAGGGGATGGTCTGGTTGCGCAGCACCACCACGATGCCCGAGCGGATGAAGTAGCCCTCCTCCTCCCGCGCCGCCTCTTGCACCCCCTCCTTGTTGATGATCTGCACGTTGTCGCCGATGCGGGCATTCTTGTCCACGATCACGTTGCGCAGGGTGGAGCCCGCGCCGATGCCCATGGGCACGCCCCCCGCCTCCATGAGCGCCGCGCGCTGCGCGTCGCTCTCGTAGTAGTCGCAGCCCATGATCATGGCGTCCTGCGGTGTGTGTGTGTGTGTGGTGGTGGTGGTGGTGGGGGGGGGCGAGCTGGTTGATGGGCAGACAGCGCTGCAAGCAGCCACGCCAGCACACAGCCTGCGCATGCACCAGGTCTCCGCTCAATGCGTGGGGAGGCGGGCAGGCACCAACACGCTGTGCCCCCCGGCCCACCTGGATGGTGACCCCCTCGTTGATGCGCGAGCGCAGGCCGATGATGGCGTGGTTGACGTTGCACTCGCGCAGGTAGGAGCCGTGGCTGACAATGGCGTCGGTCAGCTTGCTCTTGATGACCTTGGCGGGGGGCAGGAAGCGTGGGGAGGTGTAGATGGGGCCCTGGGGGTCGTGGAACTGGAAGTTGGGGGGCTGCAGGGGGGAGGGGGGATTACACAATCATACGAGAGCACATTTCCGTGTCTGATTGTGTGGTGGCGGTGTGAGTTTCTGCGGAAGGTAAGAGCAGCACCTGAGCGCTCATCACGAGCCACAAGCCACTGCTGCCACCTCCACCAGCCACAAGCCCTCTCATGCCCAGCTACCCCGTCATCTCCCTGATCAAGCCATGTCTCCTGCCGCGGCAAGCCACAGCCCCTCACGTTGTGCGTCAGTGCCAGGTTGGCGTTGAAGAAGGACTCGATGGTGCCGATGTCCTCCCAGTAGCCGTTGAACAGGTAGGCCATCACCTTGTGGTCCTTGGCCGTCTGCGGGATGATCTCGCCGCCAAAGTCATGGCTGGTCTTGTTCTGCACGGAGGGTGGGGTGGGGCGGGATGGAGCGTGTTTGAATGTAGGGTGAGCACGCGTGCAAAGGGGTGCAGGTGCAGGGCGGCATGCAGGCGCGCGTGCCGGCCGCCAAAGCCGGCGTCCTGGCTGCCTGGCTCAGCAGGCACCCAAAGATCCCACTCTGCCCTCTTCTACCGCTGCCGCTGCCCCTTCCTCGCTCCCGCAGCAGCAGCCTCACCACGTCCAGCCAATCCAGCATGAGGCTCTTCTTGAACACGTAGATGCCCATGGAGGCGGAGAAAGACTGCTGCTTAACGGCGGCCGGGCTCAAGGCTGTGGGGTGGGGTGGGAAAAGGATCGGGCCTCGGCGCCGTCTCCAGGCAGCGCAGCGAGCAGCAGCAGGGGAACCCCGTGCCGCCACTGCCGTGCCAAGAGCCAACCGCGGCAGCGCGCCTGATGCAGCGCCCCACCAGCCCGGCGCTGGGCTAGCCCCAGCCCAGCGCACCCAGCACGGTGGTGTCCACCCGCATCTTCTCCAGCGCCTCCCCCTTGGGCTTCTCCGCAAACTCGGTGATGCGCCCCTCGTTGTCGATCTTCATCAGCCCAAAGTCGGAGGCGCGGGTGGCGTCCACGGGCAGGCAGCCGATGGTGACGTCGGCGCCGGTGGCGCGGTGGTGGTCCACAAACTGAGGCAGGCCAGGCGGGGCAGGCGATGCAAACTGGGGTGAGTGACAGAGGGTACGCAAACCAGAAGAGAGGCTAGCCATGTGTGCAGCAGTGCGCATGGACCGAGGCACGACCCGCTGTGAGGAGGCCAGGCTGAGTCTCCACTCGCTATACTGCCTCTCCTGCCCCCTGCCCCCTGTACCTTCATGTAGTCCATGCGGTACAGGTGGTCTCCCGACAGGATCACAATGTCCTCCACGTTGCGGTTCTTGATGTCGCGGAACAGCCAGGCATACTGGCGCACCGCGTCGGCCGTGCCCTGCAGGATGCGGGAGGCAGCAAGAGTGGGGCCGCCGGCGGAGCAGCACAGCGCGAACGATGACGAGCAGCAAGCGCCCTGGCCATGGTCGACAACATGCTGTGAAGCCCGGCCACCCAGCTCCACGCCCGCTGCGCACGTCCTGCTCTCTGTACAAGGCACCCAGTGCCACCAGGCAACCCACCTGGAACCACTCCTTGTCTGTGGGCGTCTGCGTGGCCGCAAGCACCTCCACAAAGCCCTCGCCACCAAACCGCACGCCGCTGGCGCCAAAGCTGCAGGCGGGGCGGGGGCCAGGGAGGCCGGCTAGTTCCACAGAGCCCACACATGCATGCATGCCGCCGCTGCTGCTGCGCTGGCCTGGGAGCCGAGCTGCTCGAGGCGACGCTGTGGTGCGCTTCCGCGCAACCCTGCACTGGCTTCAGCCCACTGCTGCTGCCTGCTCCCCAAGTGCCGCAGCTCACTTGTAGGTGCGGGCCAGGTGGCGGTTGAGGGAGGTGGAGTTGAACTGGGTGAGGATGTAGATCTTGGAGATGCCGCTGTTGATGCAGTTGCTCATGGGCACATCAATCTGCAGGGGCGGGGCGCGGCAGTTGCAGTTGCAGCGAGCACGGGGCGCACCGCTGAACGGTCGGGGGGGCGGGAGGATGGCAGCAGCAGCGCCCTGACAGCCGCTCTCTGGCGGCAGCTGGCTTAGGGCGCAGCGCAGTGTGCAGCACAAGCAGCTCATGTAGTGCTGAGACGCCATGCCCAGAGAGCATCCCGGTAGCGGCACCAGACAGCGGCAGGCTGCAGGGTGTGCCGGGCGCACCAGGCGGTATGCGCCGCCGATGGGCACCGCGGGCTTTGCACGGTTCTTGGTCAGCGGGTACAGGCGGGTGCCGGCGCCGCCACCCAGGATCACAGCTGCAGCAGGCGCCGGGGCATGCCAATGTTTGCGGTTCAGGGATGTGGCTGGGAGCCACCGCGTCAACTGCACCACACCTGACAGCCTGGGCACCCCCGCCTGACTCTTCCCGCTGCCTCGCGTATCAAGGCTGCATTTGGCCCCTGCATGTCGCCTCCCCAGACGCATCCCCTTGCCATCCTGCCCCGTATCGCACCCATGACACTGTTGGTCTGGGAGTGGGCAGAGGCGGCCTCGGCGCCGCGCTCTGGCGCCGCCACTGCCTGGACGGCCCTGCAGGTGCCAGGGGCGGGCGGAGGCGGCGTTGTTACGCGCATTCCGGTGCATTTGGCCTGGACGCTGGGCGTGCGTGTCGGCGCGGGCTGAGGTCGAGGCACCCCCGGAGGCTCACCCCAGCTGCAGCAACCCGGGTTGACCCGCCGCCCTGCGGGCCTTGTGCTGCTGCAGACGAGTGCCCCGCACACTCTGCTTGAAGCTGCTGCATTTGGCGGTGCCAATGCGCCCGGCAGCGGGCATGGCCACCCTGTCGATCGCAACCTGCTGCATGGCTGCTTTTTCTTGGATCCTGCCCCGTGAACTGAGTGAGGTGATCGAGCAAAGAGCGATGATGGCGATTCGGGGCCCGATGGTGGCCACCTGAGCAGGTGCCACCTGCATGGGGGCGGGCGGGTGGAAAGCCCACGTCCGTTTTGGCGCTGTGGGGTTTCTGAGGGCCGCCCGCCGCAGCCACCAGAGTCTGGAGGTACTGACTTGCCTGTGAGCTGGCCTCTGGCCGGCGACAGCGCGTCCACAACCCCTGCTGGTGCCGCCATGGAGCACCAGCGCTTCTCCTTCATGTCTGCGAGCCGTAGTCAGTCGAGTGTGGCGGCTATGGCTCATCAGCGGAGGTGGGTGGCCCATTGCAGTGGGGTGGGCGGCCTCATGACGCGCGGGGGGCTGCTGGCGGTCGCTGCGGGCACTTCAGCAGCTAGTGTGGGGCAAGCGAGCATGGTTAAGGGCGGCAAAGGTGACGTTGGGGCGCCAGGAGCCCCAGACCGGCCACGGTAGTTTGGGCGGTAGTGGCGGGGGCCACGGCAAACCATGGAGACTCGCTGCGCTGGCCAGCCTGCACGCAGACCAGCTGACCTAATGGCCCTGGTATTGATGCAGGGACTACCCCACCACAGCGGATAATTATGACCTGGTGGAGGAGTGCGGCCGGGGTGTCAGTGCCACGGTGCGCCCCTCCGCCCCCGGTCGCGCCGGCTTAAGCTGCATCGGTGCCGCACGTGCTTGCCTGCGCCTGGCTGCTGCACATGCACAGGACCAAGCAGAACAATGCTGCGGCTGGGCGGGCTGTCGATCGCCCGGCGCCGCGGCGGCCGTTGCAACACACCGGCAGCAACCCGCTGCCCTTCATGCTCCGGTTGCGATGCGCCCCTCGGGCCCCCCACCTGCCTCAGGTGTACCGTGCCATCTGCAAGACCTACAACGAGGAGGTTGCAGTGAAGCTGCTGGACCTGGAAAACATGAATTGCAGCCTGGATGAAATTGTGCGCGAGGCGCAGGTGGGTGGGCTACTCCGAGCATCACCGCCCGGCTGCCATCAGCAGTGCTAGGATGTCGACAAGAATGGGGTCCCATGCTACAGCTCCAGGACGGTGTGGAGCAGCAGCCAGGATTAGTAAGGGGCAGCAGGGACAGCCATTTACAGCGAATTGGGCGACCTGCACCCTGGCGGCCCCCCAGCAGCTGCTCACTGCCTCTTGTTTCCCCTCTGTGTCCCCCCACCTGGCACCTGCAGACTATGCGCCAGCTCAACCATCCCAACCTCCTGCCGCTCTACTGCTCCTTTGTGCACAAGGAGCACCTGTGGATGGTCATGCCCTACGTGCAGGGCGGCTCGGTGCTCAACATCATGCGCTTCGCATACCCAGATGTGAGCACGCGCTGGGCCGCTGCTCCAGTCGCCGGGGCTGGCGTAGTGGCTGGGGCCGCGGGGCTGCAGGTTTTACTTTACCTCGTGAAAGTACTTCGTGCTGGTGGGCTGCATTGTGCTGGTGTGCACCGACCAGCGAAAAGAGGTGTGCTGTGTGTGTCTGTGTGCGCGCAGGGCCTGGAGGAGCCTGTGATTGCGACCATCATGAAGGATGTGCTCAAGGCGCTCGAGTACCTGCACCGCCAGGGCATCATCCACAGAGACATCAAGGTGGGTGGGCATGGTGGTGGTGGGTTGGGTTCAGGCAAGGCAGGGACGGGGCGGCCAGGCCAGAGCAGCACTGGCTAAGCTGGAGCTGGGGTGGCGGCACCAGCCATGCTCTCTGCCGCGCCGCTGGCCTTGCGCTGTGCAGGCAATGGCTTCGCCTGCGCTGCCTCACCCCCTCAGCTGCACGCTGGCCTGCCCACAGCCCTGTGCCGTTCTCCCCCCTCTCCACGCAGGCGGGCAACATCCTGTTGGACAATGGCGGCCAGGTGCTGCTGGCGGACTTTGGGGTGGCTGCCACGCTGGAGCGCGGCGGCTCCTGGGGCAACCGCATGATGAGCCGCAACACGTTTGTGGGCACGCCCTGCTGGATGGCGCCGGAGGTCATGGAGCAGAGCCAGGGGTGAGCCCCGGGCACGCAGCCGGGCACTTTGCCTGCCTGGCCTCAGCTTCGCTGCTCCCACTTGCTGCCGCTGCGTCACCTGCCCGACTCGTCACGTGCACATGCAAACCTATCCACAAATATTTGCGCGTGCAGATACGACGCCCGCGCCGACATCTGGTCGTTTGGCATCACGCTGCTGGAGCTGGCGCACGGCCACGCGCCGTTTGCGCGCCTGCCGCCCATGAAGGTGCTGCTGATGACCATCCAGAACCCGCCGCCCACGCTGGACACGGGTGCGCCTGGCTGGGGGGCCTTGGGGTTGCTTGGAGGTTGCCTGCTTTCCGGGTTGCCTGGTTGATTGGGGTAGCATGCTTGCGCGGCGACCTTGCTCACGTGGCGACTGTTGGCTTTACCATCCGCCTTTCACACTGGGCGATACCTGGTTGGGCTGATCCTCGCCTTGCGCCTGTGGTGGTGCTGCAGAGACCAGCAAGAAGCACTTCAGCAAGGCGATGCGGGAGCTGGTGGCCAAGTGCCTGGTCAAGGACCCCACCAAGCGCCCCACCGCGGCGCAGGTGCGGCGCTTGGCGCTGGTGTGCCTCCTGGCTACTGCGCTGGCAGCGCGGGAGTGGCAGCAGCCGGCCTTGCTGGGCCTTGGGTTGCGCCTCGCGCCACGTCCCATGGGGCTGCTGGACTCGAGGTTCATTGTGTTCTCCGAGCCTGCCCACCGAGTATGTCTTTCTGTCTCTGGCCCTTTGCAGCTCCTAGACAACAAGTTCTTCAAGACAGCTCACGACAACCAGTACTTGCAGAAGCACCTGCTGGTGGGCCTGCCACCCGCCCCGGAGCGCGTGCAGCTGATGCGGCAAGGCCACGTGAGTCTGCCCGCCAGCCCAGCTGCCCCGCAGCCGCGCTGGGCTGGTCCCCGCTGGCTACCTGCGTTGGCGCGGCTCGCTCTTTGCGAGCAACCCTCGCCATCCCATGGCCATATCTCGCCGTCTCTTTGCCACGCTTGCCGCCCGACCGTCTGTACCGCTGCCCACACCCGTACCGCCCGCATCCGTACTACAGGCCGCGCGCCAGGAGGTGCAGGACAAGGACATCCTGGCCAGCCAGCAGGAGTATCGCAAGGGCGTCTCCTCCTGGAACTTTGATGTGGCGGCGCTCAAGGCGGCGGCGGCGGCGGCGCGGGAGGACGAGGAGGACCGCCTGCCGCCCATCTCAGAGCACTCGGGTGCGCCGCCCGGGTGGTTGGCTGGGCAGCTGGGTGGGTGGTGTGCTGGGTGGCTTGGGCATGGGAGAGGGACGGGGTAGAGTGTGGGTGGGTTGGAGCGTGATGGTGAGCCACCGAGCCACCGCCAGCGTGTGTTGACCTGGCCCTGCGCGCCCCCTGCCCGCTCCTGGCGTGGCCTGCAGAGGTGGGCGAGCTGATGCAGCAGCCGTCCATCGCGGCGGCAGCGGCAGCAGCGGCGGCGGCGGCGGCGGGCGAGCTTGGCGGCCGCCCGCCGGCGATAGAGACGGCCATCAGCGCCAGCAGCACGGGCAGCCCCATGGCCGGCAAGTCGCCCATGGGCCCCGGCTCGCGGACGGCCAGCGGCATGGAGCGGCCGCCGCTGCCCATGGCGGGCGGCACGCCCGGCAAGGCGCGGCAGGGCAGCCTGGTGGGCGCGGGGGGCAAGCCGACGGCCAAGGAGCAAGGGCGGTTCAAGGTGTATGAGGGCGACGAGCCGCCGCCCTTCAGGTGCGCACCGCTGCTCCCTGCCACCGCTTTTTGCCTCACGCCACAATTCAGTCGCCTGTCAGTCAGGCAGGCAGGTGGCGTGTTGCACGCCGCCGGGTGGGCTGCCTACTCACGTGTGCCGTTGCCCTGCTGCGCCTGCGCCTGCCCCTTGCCTGCCCTGCAGCACGCCGCCCGAGCAGCGCAGCAACGGCACGCAGCTGATGGAAGAGTTCATGCAGAGACACCAGGGGGGCACGCCGGGGGCAGAGGCAAGTTGGTGTTGGGATGCAGCCACTGCGACGCTGCCTGCGCTGCGCTGCGGGGCTGTGTCAGCCAGGCCGCGGCACCATGCTCAGCCCCTGCTGCAAAGCGGCAGCATGCGGCTGCCCAGAGCTGCACGAATGGCGATGACACGAGGCGCTCAACTCAGTCTGTTGTCTGCCAGCTGTTGGCTCTGCTGACCAGGCCATGCCCGTCCCCCTCTCCCCGTCCCCCCTGTGTCTCGCCGCAGGGTTCTGAGCTGGCGGGCGCCACCGAGGCGGAGCTGCAGGAGAAGGCCAAGCGCAAGGGGAGGTTCAGGTATGTGGAGGACGACTACGCGGCAGCCGGCGGCGCGCCGCCCGGCGCACCCTCCACCAAGACCTCGGGCGTCTCCAAGTGAGCCGCGCCCAGCCTGGACTGGTGGCTACCGTCGGCCCTGCGATGTCTTGCGGCCCTTTGTGCCGGCCGTCCGGCATTTCGTTGGTGTCTGGGTCTTTCCTGGCATAGTGCAACGGCGCCGTGCACCTCTCTGATCCCCTCCTCCCCCCGTCCCGGCTGCAGCAGGAGCGCCAGCCTGTCGGGCCTGGTGGAGGGCGGCAAGGGCGGCAGCTCGGCGCCCAGCCCCACCAGCCAGGCGGTGCAGGTGCTGCTGGGGCCGCTCAAGGAGATGCTGGAGAGCATGACGCTGCAGCAGGAGGTCATGCGGGAGATGGTGAGGCGGCGGCCATGGCCTGCCAAGTGGGCTGGGCCCCGCCTGACTTGTCGGGCATCAGCCGGCTGGTGCCGACGGCAGCTGTCGGCCCCGTTTGTTTCTGAGTGAGGCAGCCTACCCGCCTGCACATACTCGCTGCCCTGCATCTGCCGACCCAGCTGCGGCGCCTCGCCCTGGCGCCTCGCCCTGGCGTCGCAGGTGGCGGCGGTGAGCGATGCGGACCGCGGCAAGCAGGGTGCGCTGAACGCGTTCCTGGCGGAGCGCCACCACCTGCGGCCGCCGCGGGAGGAGACGGACAGGCTGCGGGCGGAGGTGCGACACGCAGGCAACTGGCGGTGCCCCCGGTTGCAAGTTCGGCTCTGCTCACTGCGTGCACGTCACTTGCGGATTCCCAAAGCCATGGATGGCACTGCTGGCCGACCCGTGCGCCACTTCTTCCCCGCCCTCGCCCCTGCCTGCTGCAGCTGCTGGAGCTGCGGGAGGAGAATGGGCGGCTGCGGGATCGGTTGCGGCACTACGACAGCCAGCCCGACTCGCGCAAGAGCAGCGCCAGCGGTGAGCACTCGCAGCAGCAGCAGGCGGCGGCGTAGGGCTGGAGCCCTCCCACTGCCCTGCGCTCTCGGATGTGACCTGCCATCAGCCGGTTCGCCGTGGCTGCCCCCGTTCATCTTGGCTGCGGGTTCCCACGGCAGTTACGTGTGTGGCAACGCTGCTGCTCCAACCAGCATCGGCTTGCACCTGTGCGCCATGTGCTATGCCATCACTCACTCCCACGGCACCTTTTGTTAGCAACGCTGCTTGCCTGTCTGTTCTCTGTGCTACTTTTTCCCTGCTCTTTTCGCCAGCAACGCATCTAGCCATAGATTGCATCATGTTGCTCCTGCACGTTGTCCGCGTTGTTGACTGCATCTCCTGCTATCCGTCGGCCGCTTCCCTATGCACCGGCTAGACAAGCATCGCCTGCCTAGTTGGCTCAGCGCTGGTAAGATTCACACTGTGGACAGGAGAAGCATGAGTGGGTCAGATGGAGTTTCAGGGGTGAAAGTCCCAAGGGGCCGCCACAATCTTGTCAGCTGCTAGCGGCACGGCACGACGCGCCACCTGGCGGGAGGTGGCTTCCCTTCCCTTGCGAAGCATTGCGCAAGAACCCGATCGAGGACTCCTCTGCCCTGTTTCTGTCAGCAAGCGCGTGCCAAATTCTCTGTCGGCAACCACTCGGTGCCATCCCGCCTAGGTCGTCACCCGCGGTCTTGCTGGGGCGGCCGTGTCTGACTCGCAGGCAAGCGTCGCATCACATGCCACCGCGCTGAGGGTGCCGGGGAGACAGCCTCTGCCCGCTGTGGCCTGCCCTGGTGCCCTCCGCCCTGCAGCTGCCTCCGCCCTCCCGCTGCTTCCCGTCTACCCGCCCATTCCACCACATTGTCGGCGCTTTCTTCTGATTCCCAATTATTGTTTTTCAAAAGAACCGTATGAATTGCTCTTCATGAGCAGGAATTTCCAGTCTCCAGCGTGGTTGGAACCAAGGAATGGCTTTCCTGGCGACCGCGCGCACTACGGTGGACCGCATCTATGTGTGGAGCAATAGGCAGCCCTGGCTCTTCATCCGCCGGGGACTCTGGGTGCTGACCTTCGGCTGGGCGCTGTGCGTGCTCTATTTGCTGTTTGCGGCGGTCATGCTGGTGTCCATCATTTTTGCGCCATTCTCGTACCAAGCCTTCCGCATGGCGCTGCTGGCCCTGGATGGCGGCATCATCCTGGAGCCCTTCAGCCAGTACATCGTGTTATCGCTGGAGGTGCGCCTGGTGGCGGGGGTGGGGCAATGGCATCCACTGCTGTCGACTTCCGTACAGCAGTAATACTCCGTGTTGTCCCGAGATGCATTTTTTCAAACAACAGCCATACTCTGGGCCCCTTGCTGCAGGCGCCCGCATGGGGCAACCCGGCGCACCCCTACACCATCTGTGCCAACGGGGTGTGGTGCGTGCTGTTTGGTTGGCAGATGGCGCTGGCCCACCTCACGGCCGCCCTGTTCCAGGCGCTGACCGTCATTGGCCTGGGCACGGCACTGACCAACGTGCAGCTAGCGCAGTTTGCCATGTGAGCTGCGCAGCAATGCGGCCATGCTGGTGGACCGATGTGCATCATCACTGCTGTTTGACCTGCATTCCCGCTGCTGCTGCCCTGCCTGCAGATGGCCCTTTGGCCGCTCGTTGCGCCGCCGCCAGCTTCCCACTTCGCTGACGGAGCTGGAGGCCCAGCGGGCCAATGCGTCGATGGAGTCCAGCACAGCCAGGGCGCTGGGCTGGGTGTGAGGCGGGGCTGGTGCTGTTGGGCCGAACGCCGCTGAGTACATTAGACGTTCAGGACGCCGTGCTTTGTCCATTACAGCGATGCATCCACTCATACGGTCATGTACAGCCTGCTTGTGAAGCTGCTGCCCCAGCTGGTGGATGTTGAGGGTCGGCGGCGGTCAGACCCAGCCTGGCGGCAAAGGCGGCGGGCGGGCGTGGCGGCGGGCTCGACTCCAGCGCCAACGCAGCATCCTGGGCCCCACGACCGCATCCTTGCCTCACGCGCTCCCAGAATCTTACCGGGACTTCGTTAGAAGTCCCGGTAAGGGGCCTTCCTGCACTTCCGCTGCCACCTGGCAGGACTCGTTCTACAGCCGTGCAGCAAAATCAGAACGTTGGCAGCGCTTTCTGTTGTTGCACGGGTGTTTGGACGGGAGCGCCTGCAGAATTTGTGAGTCTGCCATCTCTCTGGTTCTAGACTCGGCGTTTAGTGCCACCGGCAGCACGCTCTGAGGCAGGACGCTCAGTGGCTAGCCTTGTAGAGAAGGCATGGCGAAACATCACCCCGACCTGATCATGTGCCGCAAGCAGCCGGGCATCGCCATAGGCCGGCTGTGCGAGAAGTGTAAGCGGCTGCCGCTGGCGCCGCCGCCTGTGCAAGTGCCCAGGGGCCCCCTCCACTGCCGTGCCGCGCCGCCGCTGCCACCTCGTCTTTTCCTCAAAAGCTGCCGCCCCTTCACCCCGCTCCTGCAGGCGACGGCAAGTGCCCCATCTGCGACAGCTATGTGCGGCCAGCAACGCTGGTGCGCGTCTGTGATGAGTGCAACTACGGCTCGTACGCGGGGCGCTGCGTCATCTGCGGCGGCATCGGTGTGTCGGACGCATACTACTGCAAGGAGTGCACGATCTGTGAGAAGGACGTGAGGCCCCGCTGCTGTTGCTGCTGCTGCTGCTGCAGCAGTGCTGATGCTGCGAGTGGCTTGTGCTGCGTGCTGTTAGCCCTGCCCCCGCTGCTGCCTGCTTTGGACATGTTGTTGCTGAACAAACTGGCTGTGCTGGGCAGCCAGTTTGTGCTGGGCAGCCAGCCTGCTGCTGCCGCCCCTGAAGCTACTACTGCCTGCCGCCCCTGCTGCCTGCCCAGCCTGCTGAACTCAGCGCTTGGACTGCCCGCCCGCCCGCCTGCCTGCAGCGTGACGGCTGCCCCAAGATCATCAACCTGGGCAGTGCCAAAACAGACCTGTTTTATGAACGAAAAAAGTGAGGCTGCGCCCTGGAGGCCCGCCCTTTGTGCTGCCGTGAAAACCCCGCTCAGCATGTCTGCGGTGCCAGCTGATTCTAACTGCGGAAGCGATGCCAGGCTCGCCCCTTGCATCTTCCACCACGTTGACCGTTATCGCTGGTGCCCCCCCCCCCCCCAA